GGGTTAAATTAGATTCCATTTCTATGCAATAAATATTGATAACCAATAATACGATTTCATACCCGCTATATAGTTTGAGGAATGAATTCTTTGTAACTATTAATTCATCCTTCACCCACTGGTGGAAGCTAGTGCTCCAAATGATATTATGACAGTGCAAAATCAAAATATTAAAAAATATGAAAAACTAGGTAATCTCAAATTGTATGCCCTAACATCATTTCCATGTGGATTTGCAAAATGTCACCATTACAGTTATTATTTCTTGCATACACACCCACCCTTACCTTAATGACATACTGTAGGTGTCATACACAGTATGTTCACTTTTAGCACAATTTTTTAAATTTCTCTATTTTGGTTGTGTGGATGTGACAATAAGCAGGTGATGACTTGGTTCAGTAAGTGAACAGGATCTTACTCGTCGTTTGCTGAGTGACTGGATGTGTAAGGAGGGTAGATAAACAAAGGGAAGGCAGGTATAGATATAAGCCTATAGAAAAGTTCGGTTTATGTTACTGTCATTGAATCCCCAAAACACAGATTCTGAACATTATAGCACAGACATGCCTATTGGAATGTTGACTTTGCCTGGAATGTAACAGGTGGGATAAAATAAGCTGGCGGGGGGGAAACTGCTTGGCTGTAAATCTTTCCACTTCTCATAGGAGACACACTTTAAGTTACTTGTTAACAATTATGATAAAGAGGCTTTAAGCTCAACCAAAAGGAGACCTTTGTTTGGAGACATTATCATAAATCTCAGTGTTATAAACTGCTCCTTATCAAGCATCAGAGTTTACAGTTAGATGATAGAGATAGTGATGGCAGGTACATTGTCTTTGAGGGAACCAGCACAAATGAATGAAAAAGGTGACGTGTCAAAGCAATTACATAGGAATGTAAATTTTAAGAATAAGTATACAAAACAGCATGGAAAACCTTGAAAATAGTTTAAAAAATTAAAGTTTTAAATTATGTTAAAAAGCACACATTCAAATCCACCTGTTCTGGTACAAATGGCAGATAAAACACTTCAGATGCTGATCTATCTCCAGGCACAAACAATCACAATCGCAAACTTTTGGCAATTCAGAGACTGGAAAGTACCTCACACAAACACCGGGAGAACGATCAGATTTCACACACAGAGCCAGGACTGGACACCAACCCCACAAAGGTATCAGGGCTGGAAACCAACCCCACAAAGGTTTCAGGGCTGGAAACCAACCCCACAAAGGTTTCAGGGCTGGACACCAACCCCACAAAGGTATCAGGGCTGGACACCAACCCCACAAAGGTATCAGGGCTGGAAACCAACCCCACAAAGGTATCAGGGCTGGAAACCAACCCCACAAAGGTATCAGGGCTGGAAACCAACCCCACAAAGNCAAAGGTATCAGGGCTGGAAACCAACCCCACAAAGGTATCAGGGCTGGAAACCAACCCCACAAAGGTATCAGGGCTGGAAACCAACCCCACAAAGATATCAGGGCTGGACACCAACCCCACAAAGGTATCAGGGCTGGACAAGGCATGGCAGGTACGAGGCAACAGTGCTAATCACAGTGCTGCCTCACTTTAGGTCTTTATTTATTAGTGTTATGATGATGTTTAAATATTCTTCATATATAAATGGATTAAATGTTTCAAAGCTTCGGAAACTTTAAGATGTAGATAAAAAGCATCCCAGACAAATGCAGGATATCTTTTGACTCCTTTGGTTCCTTATCTATTGAGGCAGTTCCAAAACATGGTTTTTCAATTAAGTACATGCTCTGGCTTTTCCATTGCTTGGGTATAAACAGCCCAGGCCTCTCTCATTGGTAAGGAAGTGAGGCAATAATAGTTGTTGCGCTTGGCACTGGACTATACATCTTATATACAAATGGCCTGAAAGGCATGTAGTTGGCATTGCTGCAGGACAGCAGCCAGACATAGAAAGTGGGTCTGCTGGTCCCATGATGGGCCAAAGTGGTATAATGAGGCATTTCAGGATGATGTTGATCTTGGCAATTCATATTACAGAAATCTGCAGTCCTCAGGGCAAGCAGGGTGCCTGAAGAAGTACACCGATTGGCCTAAGAATGACACTGGTAAAGAAATAACAAATTAATTATACAAACTGTACTGTAGTGACAATGAAAATCTTTGCAAATTTTTAACTAATTCTAGTCACTGCATCAATGCATACAAATCATATATCTGCAGATAAGACCAACCACTAACATGGAACAAAAATCACAAAAAGGGAAAAGAGATTACCTTTGGATTTGATTAATCTGGGATCCTATTCTTAACAACAAAAGAACATTTGAAATTAACATTAAGCAAATCGTAATGATTGATGTACCACACTTGCACTGAAATTAATTATTGATTATTATTGATTACAGCTCCTATCCACCAGGGGGAGTATCAGATCCACATGCATGTAAATGCCAGTATGGTCAGGGCATCCTTGCCCTCTGTGCTGCTTTGTGTTGCTGAGCACATAGTTTCCTAATGAAGTCAAGTGTATTGACGTAGTGATAGATCCCACAGAAGTAAAGGACACCCACTTATTTTGCACGCACTGTTCAGATGTCACAGGGATATCTGTCACTCAGACTTAAAAACAACTTAATTTTAATTCAACGATAAAACACACCTGATCTCTTGATGAAAACCGAATTAAAGACTGTTATATTCAGAATGTCACATGTGGTAACTCGAAGTCCTGACCTCACATGCAACGTCTGGGGGTTTCTAAAGGTGCACTCTAGTTACATGAAAAAAGTAAAAGTGCAAAGACATGAAATCTAAGAAAACATTTATTTTTTTTTTAAAGTTAATACTTTAATGCAAAGGTTTTTGTGTTTCTCATGCACAAGACCTATTATGAATCCTTCATCACTTCCACAAAAAGCTAGTGAAGTAATTTCCACAATTTGCAATGTAATTAGTTATAGTAATGCTTTAAACATCACATTATAGCAAAGTAATTTCCAAGTTCCATAATTACCACTTCTGTACCAAAATGCTCCATAAATCAGACAACACATCCTATTCAATATCTTGGTACGTTCTTAAGTATGCCAGTGAGTTTTTATATTTGAGTAACAGAATGTAGTGCAGAGGACTACATAATTTTAATGTTTTTTTTTTTCTTTTTCTCCATTATTTCTGGATTGATTTAACATCACTACAGCACAAAGTTAATGCTTTCTCTTTTTGTGAGACACACTCTGTCACAATAAGTGAATTCCAATGTAAACCATGCATCTCTGCAGGACTTTGATGATCTGATCTTTCTGTATCCTGTCAAATGCTTCTGACCGCTAGTGATCTCCATTATTCATCATACTGATTTTCAGGACCATTTTTTTAAAATGCTGTTTAATTACTGTATCCGAATAGCCTCTTATTGATGGAAGATAATTCTTTACATTTTCAGGATGATAGGCGGCAGACAGGCATATTAGCTTTGTTAGCTAATATGTTCTTTAACAGTTTGGGAGAACATAGAAGTTTCAGAAGAGGACCGCTAACCCCTTCTGGTTTTACTGGCTGGGGTAAACCGCTTTTACTGCTGGAACACTAGTTCAGGTCCAGCGTAAGATCATATTACTTGCACTGCCTGAAACCAGAGAGGTGGCACTGTGAGACAGTGACACTTGAGTTTCTAAACAGCTGAGGGTCACGGCTCTCTGCACCCACGCAGCATCTCCCAGTCACACTGCATACCGCACACACACTGGAAAAAGTGTTTCCCAGGATCACCTCCTTAATTCTCATAGTTGGTGCTGAAATGTAGTTTGTTCTGTTAGATTGCTGAAAAATCTGGGTTCGATTTAATTTTGTATTTTTCATTCCCTCTGCTTCTAAAAATTTTTTTTTTTTACTGCTACATAACTTTATTATGTACCATGGAAAAAACAAACTGCATTGGCAGGTCTTGCTCTTTAATGCCCAGCATGCTTTTTTAATGGTAAAATGTAATTATACAAAGATAATCATCATAATTAGTTGAATAGTCTTTAGCATATAAAATAGTTTTTGTTTCAATATGAATAGGGACCAGTGATGGATTGCCATCCCTACCCATCTATACCTTTCCTCTTCCCTGTGTGTCCTGGAATAGATTCTGTTCTCACCAAGACACAGCTCCGGGTGTTCTGGAAAAGGACATTTTAAAAATGTATAATCAGGCCATTTTTTATGCTACAGGTTCACTTCATCAGTGACTGATTACTCCTAGGTGGTTATCATGTCCAGAACTCTCCTAGTTCTGTGTAAGAGTGTCATAAATAGCTGGCTTTGTATCAGGATTCTCAGCAAGGGCCTGGTGTTTTGTTGCGAGTGCCACTCACAATCTGTCTCACATTCCTGAGGATTTACTTGGAATACAGCATTCTGAAAAGCAATAATAACTGATGCTGGATTCTGAGGATTAGAATGAGACTAATATATTCCATCAGGTTTGAGCAAATATTTACATTCCATTCTTGAAAAAAAGGCAAAGTGTTGGCATGAAAACCAAGGAAACAGCATTTGGATCGTCTTCCTATCAAAATGGAACAAAAGGTACTACAAGCCTTCTAGTGCAGAATTTCAAATATCATTTTACCGATGACGATATGACATTAGGTATCCCTATAAGCAGAGCACCCAGCTAGCCAGTAAAGAGCAGACACATCATGCTCAATGCTCTACCAACATAACCTGAAGCCAACACTTGCTAACCATACAATAAACCTTTCTGTTTGTCACAACAAAGGAACAAAAAAAATCAAAGAGTGATTAAATTCCTAGGGTCACCATGCCACTCTTCACCTTCAGTTTTATTGCAAGGTTCAAGTAAGCTCAGCACTCTGCTCTGGATCTACCATCCAATCTATGTTTAGCTCTTGCTAGCAAGTGAATGGAGGGGCCTTACTTATCTTCAGTGCTGTCATCGAGGCCGATGGTATTTTTAGGGGACAGCAGCAGCTGCAAAAGCATTTAACAGTCCGCCATGAACAATGACACTTAGGGTATCACACGATTCAGGACCATAGCGATTGCCAGATCCCCACGAGTATGGTTGAAGTAGCAACGGAGCAATATAATAAATCCTAAGATTTTTGACAAGATAAGCACTCGCAAAACGGATCACTGCACCATGGTAAGATAGACTACCTGGGCAAACAGACCAACTTGTTCTCTCTTAAGAGAAAGGATTACAACTGTAAACAGAAGACAAGCCAATCGCAGAGGAATAATTTGGGAGCCTGACAAAGCAGAAGTCGGCCTGCATTGGCGGGACGGCAGTAGGGAGAGTGGAATGTGCACTCAATATTGTCCCTGAGGACAGAGGAGAGGTAAGTCATGTGAGAGGCCAGGGGTCATTCTAATTAAATTAGAGAACCAGACACAGGGGTTAATTACTTCCGACAACCGGATAAGATGTCACAACATCGTCTTCTCGTTAACTGTTACACAAAAAATGCCACTTGCTGAGCATGGGAGAATATTCCGCTGAAATAATGATCTGTTCTCCTACCCGTTCATGCTGTTTTAAATCAGACTCCATGGACTGCATGACAGCATGAGATATAAGCGTTCATTCCAGTTATATCCGATGGACAGACAAATGTCACCAATAAACATTGCTGAAGGCAATTATTACAACATATGAAACTTAAGCATGAAGAGAGGGACTCAACAGTTTTGTAGAGTCACTTTTACACATTTGGCTAATGATCTCAAACTATAACTGTCATAGAGATTTGATTCACAAAGATATTCACTGTGGCACTGCAAGTATCTGGGGGAATATGATGTTTATAGCATGAGGGAGTTTTGAGATGGTCATCTGTTGGAGACTGTTGTACATTGGTAGGACAGGAACTACAAACCATGTGATATGTATAAGCTGATATAAGGCATGAGCAAGCCTCAAGCTGGTTCCCCCATAACTATGAACTGCAGCTGCTGTAACCAAGCCCAATAATGAACTCAAGATATGAAAAGATAAATCAAGAAGACCAGACTGTTTAATGACATAACAATGCAAACTTGCTAACCCAGATTCTTCGGCAAGGGTTTATTTAACTTTCTGTCCTCTCTGTTCATTACGTGGAACAGCCAATCTAACATCATTCTGACCATATATTTTAAACATGGTGCAAATTCTCATTATATGCTGTCAACAGCAGTGTGATGGAAACTTAGCATATTTTGTTAGCATGTTTCCATACATATGAGTTGTCAGACTTATGTTTGTTTGAGCATGTGTTGTTCCAGAGTGTGCTTTGTGATACCTGACACATGCCCTCTCACAGAACTTTATTTAGGCAAACTATTTTAAGCACTTTCTTACTGAAATACAGCACCAGCTGTGTTGGCTATACACTGTGGCTGCGGTTACGACCGGACGAAAGGCCATTCACCCCCTGACTGTAGGCTCGGGCTCCCCTGAAAAACAGAGAAGCTATCTTAGAAAGTTCTGGGGAGTAAACGCCCTGTGAAATATGACCCCACAACTCTGGGGAGAGTCCTCTATTTCTAAATCCATAGCCACTGATAACACAGCTTGTTCCCTCACACACACACACACACACACACACACACATACACACACAAACAGTTCACATCTAACTGAAATGTTAAAGCCAACCTGCCTTCATGCATCATATAGAAACAACATTATTACCGTAAAATGTGCGTTCTCAAAATAGCTTAAGGTTTTATTTGTTTTCTTGTTTTTTTTAGACGTTTTAAAGCATTAAAGCTTTGGTACAATAAAGAAGAGGAGGACTCTGTCCCACCTCGGTGACAGGCAGCGATTGCATGCCTGTGACGCGGCGTGAGACATGGATGTATTTGGTGGTGCGCCCCGTTTTTTGGCCTACCCTCGCCCCGTAGTCGTGCAAAGCGGTACTGATGCTGCCCTGAAATGCCAGATTGGCGGAGACCCTCGTCCAGCTGTCATCTGGGAGAGGAACAACAAGCAGATTCACCCCGAGGGCCGCTATCGTCTGTTCGAAGATGGAAACGTCTACAATCTCATCATATCCGGAGCAAGTATGGAGGACAGTGGCCAGTACATCTGTAAGGCTAAGAACAGTATTGGGGAGACCTATGCGGCTGCCACTTTGAAGGTGGAGGGTGAGGCGCAGGAGATGGAGCTACGAGAGGAAAACAAACCGCGCTTTCTCATCAAGCCCCTCTCAACCAGGGTGGGCCGTGGAGAGGATGCTGTCTTCTCATGCAAACTTTGGGGTAATCCCCGACCTGAAGTGGTTTGGGAGAAGGATGGAAAAAAGCTCAGTGAGATCTTTGAGAGTACACATTTCAGTGTGGGCTACCAGGATGGGGGCTGGTTTCAGCTTAAGATTTTTAAGACTCGGGCTCCTGATGGTGGAGTATATACATGCAAGGCTAGAAATGAGTTTGGAGAGGGATTAGCAGGGGCTGTGCTGTTAGTTGATGCAGGCCCTGGACATGAAGAGGAGAGTACCCGGAATGGGTACGCTAACGGCCACTGGAAACCCCATCAGAGCAAACAACGGGGGGGCAGACAGGTGGCCACACGGGTAAAAGAGGACCCCCTTCCCAGTTCGGCGAAAGTGAAAATGTTTGCAGTTACAGAAGGAAAACACGCCAAGTTTCGATGCTTTGTGACAGGAAAACCAAAACCGGAGATAATCTGGCGGAAAGACGGGAGGCTGATCCTGTCTGGGCGCCGTTATCTGTTGTATGAAGACCGAGAAGGTTATTTCACGCTCAAAGTGCTCTACTGTAAACAACAGGACAATGGGGTTTATGTCTGTGCAGCATCCAACACGGCAGGACAGACCCTCAGCGCTGTGCATCTCTCCGTGAAAGGTACATGTGGCTTTGTGCATAATATTATTTTATGTGATGCATTTCCACTCAGAATCTCAGCATAATACCTGTTAAAAGTTAACCATATACAGTTGGCCTTAAGAGCAAGGATCTGTGTGATTTTGTATGTTTTTTATGCTTGAAGTGTCCAATGGTACACCCAAATATTGCTGGGACAGTACAAAGTAATTACAGTAGACATACTGTAATTGGTTAAATGCCCAGTGTGGAACTGCCCTTGTAATTGGTATCTGTGCTGTTACTATCCTATCAGCATTGATGGATAAACTGAAGTGTGGTAAAGATTTTTAGTGAGCCAGCTGCTAGTGCAATATGTCAGTTATTTGGCACCTGATGTATCAGCGCTCCCCGCTACCTAATCTATCTGAGCATTAATGAAATGTCTTAATTGCCTGAAATGCACCATGGGACTTCTAAATGTACCTGACCAAGCCAGTGCCATTTACATAAGGCAGATTCCAGCACCCCTGAGGTCTGCAGACTCACTTTCGTTCCATGTGACCCTGGGACTGCACATGTAACAAACATCCCCAGTGGTGTAGGAGGGACTCAAATTTCCCACAGGGTCCAGGGAAGAGGCTGAATGCCTGCGAGACACCATTATATCGTAGCTGGGGCTTTAAATATGACTTAAATTCATCTTACATTCATAAAACAGGTGTCAGGGTAAAGAAGCTACGAATCTTTGAAGGTTTATTTGGCAAGACAGGATATTGCGGCATGAAGAAAATGTGTCTTCTTACAAAGATAACAGTGATTTGTCAGTTAAATATGCACTTTCATGACCACCCTCAAGGGTTCAAATTCTTCGTTTACAACCGTCTGGTACTGTTTCACGGTGTCACTTACAGTTTGTGGCCTACCCAAGATGTTTAGACAATTTGATTAACAGTTGCCACTTACCCCACTTACCTTATTTGCAGCATCAGCTGGTAGTGAATTGCAAGCATACATTATAATATACGACTAAGTTTCAATTTATAGAGTTGTAATACTAACATTAAAAATTACATTGTTCAGCACATGTACATGGAATGACAACATGGCAGTTTACCTGTTGTTTCTGCCATATGTTCCAGGTTGTGGGTTTGATTTTTATCTATTTATATTTTCCTTCTGTTCATAATATATGGCGCCTTTCCACTGTCACCAAGAACCGAGCAGGACCGCGAATTTCATTTACAATTCCATTGCTAATTATCCGAGCTGGGACCACGCTGAAACTAACCTTTCACCGTACAGCTCAGGTACGGCTTGGTTCCTATATGCTAGTGGAAAAGCGCCAATAGGGCTTTCACACCTAAGTTCCAGGAACCTGGGCCGTTTTTACAAGTTCCTGGGCTGACCTTTGGAACTCCTGGTCACTTTCCAGTGTTGATTACACACCGCACAACAGAACTGGGATCTTTATGATAACAAGCATGGGAGACGCAAAAAAGTTCGTAGACTAAACTTCACATATAATTCGAAACTACACTGCCTCCCCAAAACAATGGTGAATACATAAGTCGCTTTTGTTCGTTACTTGTTGGATATAGGAGAATCGATCGCGATCAAAAAAGGACACATCATTTTATTTATATTTTACTTATATGACCCGAAAACATGTTTATTATTCTTATTAAATCTGCCCGCAGATCAATTTGTGATTTGTGATTGGATGTTCTAACATTTCATCCTAACGAAAAATCCAACCGTTGGGTATTGCGCATGCGCACAACATCACGCCCCTTTCCTCGTGCTTGAAGAACCGCCCATTGATCCATCCTAACTTGTGTTGGAGTTACAGCTAAGTCTTGCGTAATTAATCTTATTTGTGGGTTTCTCCACGTTCATACATTTTAAATATTTTATTAAATACATTTATCACACTTTACTATCAGTATCACGCTTATTTACTATCAATGTTTTATATGTTGTTTGTCCAATAATTACCTGACATTAGTTCCGTACGATATGTAATATGTCAGTATCGCTTACGTATGGGGTGCCAACTCTCACTCTTTCTGGCTCTCACGCTTACCAAAGAAATTTTTCGGCAAATCCTTATTATTCCATTATAAACCTAAAATTAGCCACACCAAAAGGGATAGTTTGCAAACCATACAGACTATTTGCAAGGTAATAAAACTTTTACACACATTTAAATGTGTGAACAGACTTTTCTTGAATTGAAAATCTCACGCCAGTATATTAGACAAAATGGTATACTGGTTATAGATTGAATTCTCCTATGCATAAATATGAAGAAGCAACCAAAAATGTATTCATTAAATGTAACAGTACAAAAATAATTACACCTGCTCACTTTGCTCCGCTAATTACAGACACTGCTCACTTAGCGACCTACCTGTTTAGCGACCGCCCGGACACACTGTACGACCAGCAGTCCGACAAAGGGGAAGAACTTTGGCCGTGGAAATGGCAGCGCGCCGTTTCTTTTCCATTCTGTTTGTTCTGCTCTCTGATTTATTTGGGTCGGCGAAGGAAGGTTGTATATGGTTTAGCATAATTGACCTTTATTTTGATATGCCATATCAGTTGCCATCCACTTTTATTTCGATACCCTTCATTAGTTTGATGTATATTCCTAATGTATTGTGGGATTAGGGATCCCTATCCCACAATACATTAGGCATATATACATATATATGCCTAATGTGTGTGTGTGTGTGTGTGTGTATATATATATATATATATGTATGTATGTATGATGTATATGCCTAATTGTAGTACCATATATATATTCGAACTTAGAGTAGCGTGAAAAGCACGGACGCGCGCAAGGTTAAAGTTTTCGAGTGTCTTATACTTTTCTTGTGTCTTCAAAAGCAGACTGAGACTGTGAGTTTTTTTTACTTGTTTCGTATCTTATTTAATATGTACAAATGACATTTATTTTCTATGCACTGTTTGTTAGGTAATGTTCAAAAGGACGCTAACGGTGATTCACTGTATTGCAGTGACAATAATAATACATGCCTGTATACGTTTGTGCATCATTTATTTGTATTTCCGGTGATGATTAACGTTAGCACTTATCGGTGTCTCTGCTATGCTAGATTAGACATCCCCTAAGTCTTTTCTGTGTTTTATTTCAGTTTCAGTCATATATTTTCACCTGTCACATACGGAGAAACACTTAGCTGGAACAGCACACCGTTTATTACACTATACAGTACAAAACTGTATAAATATTTATAAATATAATGGAAATACCACATATTTTTGGCCCAATCATCATCGACTGTTCACGCCTGCGGTGAAAGCTTGGCTAGTTTAATTATCTTAAAATAGTTTATAATCCTATGTAGTGTTCCAAATCGTCGGTGATTAATAAAACACAGAACACCCCCCCAAAAAAAAGAAGAAGAAAAAAAAAACAAGGTACAGTATGAGCCCAACGGTGCCTCGGTAATCGAGGCCTGAACCTAACCATGGATATGGGGAACAGATTATCTTCACTGTGGATAGTTAAGAATGCTAATAAAGTAGATGACTATAAGATATGGAAACACAGGAGTTCCACAAAAAAGAATAAATCTGTAAAATAATAAAGAAATAAATGCTTTTCTTTATTGCTTTTTCCGTATTGTTTTTCTCAATTGGCTTTGGCCTTCCCACCGGAACATTGCTTCCGACGGATTGAGTGGCGAAACAGGCTGCAGCATAGCTGATTTTATATGTTTTCTCATTCACGCTGAACGTACAGTAAATGCTCAGTGGGTGGAACCAGAGAATATTCCGCCTACTGTCACGTCATGTGGGTGCCCCTTATTGATAACTCAGCATAGGCCGGAAGACCCGCCCAAAGCCAGCTGATTGACAGCTTGGCCCTTTGAGAAAAGGAAAAGCAATAGGGGAAAAGCAAAAGAAATACTGTAAAAGTTATAACAATTCGGCAAAAGCCGGTTTAAGTATCAGTAATGTGGCAAAAGCAACAAAATACTGTAGCAATACTGTAAGAGCAAATCACTAAAGAAAAGCATTTATTTTCTTATTGTTGAATTCGTATTTATTCCACTTTCTTATTCAGTATTTATTTTCTTATTCTTTTACAGTTTTATTCTTTTATATAGCACTCATATGACTCCATAATAAGGTGTATCTGTATTAGTGACAGTTCAATGTATAATTTTTTCTTTAGCCTCTAAGTATTTATGTGTATTATTTTTATGTGTGCATCATTAGCATAGTTTACTACAAATCACATGGCTGCCCAAAAATGTTGACTACTGTATTTGAAGCCATGAAGCTATTAATATAAAAGATTTCCTGCTTCTGTCTAATCAACGTTTCTCATTTGACATATCTACATTATAATTCAGTTAACCTGCATATTAGCAGGCTGACTGTTAGAATAGCATAACGTGAAATGGCAGATGGCCGATTATTAAGTAAAACACTAATTACAAATCTCAACAAAGAGGTACAAGTAAGCATTTTTATGATGGGCACTGCTGAATGGAGTTTACTTTCTCCTCTTCATCTATAGTGTAATTTAGCATGGAGAACCACATTAGTTTACAACCTACGTCGCTGTTATCAAGTGTTTTTAAGAGCAACCGCTCTGCAGTGTATTTAATCGCCCTTTCCTTCTCAAGAGCCCCTTGTACGGTTCAAGCAACCACTCACTGATCTTGAGGTATGGGAGCGGGACCTAGCCATCTTGGAGTGTGAGGTCCCTGAGGACTCAGTGCCTACGACATGGTACCTAGAGGACCGGCGGCTACAGCCGGGGGCCAAGTACGGGATGGAAGAATGGGGTACAAAACGACGCCTAACTATCCGCGACATCGGAGCAGACGATGACGGCATCTATCTGTGCGAGATGGCAGATGGAGGGCGGAGCATTGCTGAAGTATCTGTCAGAGGTTAGTGTCCTACTGCCAGCGGTGGCGTTTAGTGAGTTTGTGCCTGTGTTACACAACAAGTGTGGAAATAAAAAAAAACAACATTAGAAAAATATAATAAATTCTCTTCGTCCATTAAGTAATTGAGAATCAACTGACACAGTTGCAATTTCTCCTGCTACAATTCACATAACACAAGTTCTCTCTCTTCACCCTTGGCTGCCCTAGGTGCCTACATACCTAAATGAGTATATGGAACAACAGCCATGCTGCAAAATAACCCTGCATCACAGTAGTACATGGGATGAGTTCCATTTAGGTGCTATTGCTTTATTAGTGTTATTTATCTATTCAACTGAAAAATGATGAATGGCTGTTGTCCCTTGTTCTGTCTTCCACAGGAACGATTGTGCGCAAGCTTCCACGAAAAGTGGATGTTCTTGAAGGGGAAAATGCTGCCTTTTGTGTGGAGGTGGAGGAGGAAGAAATGGACATCCACTGGTACAAAGATGGAGTTGAGCTCAGAGAGACTCATCAGACCATTTTAAAGTCCTTCGGCAAAACTCACATCCTAGTTTTTGTCAACACCTCGCCCCAAGATTCCGGCATGGTGACTTTCATCGTGGGCAGATCGAAGACGTCGTCGCATCTCAGGGTGAAATGTTAGTGTGCAGTGTTGCAGTTAGAGAAGATGCATTTTACACAGTCATTAAATACCACAAAAATCAATAGACCTGTTGATTTGTTAATTTATGTTTACCCCTCTTCTCAGCTGTCAGACACAGCCCGCCCAGTTGTCCGATCAATGTTCAAATTAATTTGGAACGTGCCAATGCTGCCCTCCTTTCCTGGGTCCCAGCACATGACTCCCGCAGAAACCCACCTTCAGGATATGTCCTTGAGAGACAGGAGGTCGGCTCCCAGGAGTGGCTGCAGTGTCTGACCACGGACTCGGCCACTTCAGTGGAAATACTTGGGGACAGCGTGCCCTGTGAGGCGGACTACAGGTTCCGCATCTGTAGTGTCAACAAGTATGGCAAGAGTGGCCATGTGGACTTCCCCAGAGCGGCCCACCTTGGTAAGTAACTCACAAGCAGAGGCAATTCTATGACTTTTTAAGGTGGGGGGCATAATACCCTCCGTGATTGATACAGAGGGGAAAAACTTATTATTAGCCCATGATATGTTTTGAATCGGTGAGTGTCAAGGGAGGGGGCACTTTGGGAACCAATCAGCTTTCAGCAGGGGTCAGTGTCCCTGGGACTCTGTTCCTATCTACACCCCTGTTTCCAAGAAATCAGAATTTGCTCAGGGAGTTTGTAGATCTCGTGATAATAGACAATGCTATTTAATAAAATAAATTTCGAATGCAACTTGGCAAAGATATAACTATGTGGAAGACAATAGATCCTGTTTTTATCATTTCTTTTTCAGTCCCAGTAGCCAAAATACAAGCACCCTTGCAAGATGCTCTTGTCCCAGAAGGTCAGGATGCTTCTTTCACAATCGACCTTTCAGCCTCTGTTATCGGAACGTGGTTTCTAAATGGTACCCAAATCCAGGATGATGACAGATTTTTAATGCGACGGTCTCGAACACACCATTCCCTGCGTATTCGCGGGGTGCAAGAGGCAGACAATGGAGCGGAAATCACTTTTATTGCCTATGGCGTAAGAGATTCTGCTGCACTCTACATTCAAGGTATGTCAAACAAAATACTCATTTATGGTGGCTGAACTGCAGTAGTGGCAAGAGTCACAGTTTAACATATTATAACACAACAAAAGCACAGAAAACTTATTTTTTCCTATTTTGAAAGTTCTATAATGGAAAGTCATTATTAATATCTGATCCTGTATGTATAATTATACAAATTGCTTGTTTGTGGTATTTTTGAACTTCTAGCACCACTGGTGAAATTTAAACCCCTCTCAGAGATGGATCGGAATAAATTTATTGAAGTTGGCAACCCAATCGTGCTGTATTGTGAGTTGTCGGATCCTCAGGCACCAGTCCACTGGTACAAAAATGGGGTGGAGCTACACACATCTGATAATCTTCACATCCAATCAGAGGGAACTATGAGGAGGATTGTCATCCCTTCAGCTGAGTTCTCCCATTCAGGAGTGTACAGCTGTGATGCCATCGATGATGTCATCAGATTCAATGTGGAAGTAGAAGGTAAGAACTGGCAGGTTGCATACATTTCAGTGACTTGTTGAGATTTTTTATCGGTCTTTATACTAGTATATGCCTATTTGTTCTAGAATATGTTTATTTCAACTACAGTGCTTGCTGAAATGTTCCAGTGCAACTGTGGGTTCTTACATATACATATACAGTATTATTATTATCATTATATCACATTGACTACCAGGAAGAAACATCTTCTTTAAAATTAATTAAACACCCATAGCTCCACCAGTGAGGTTCTTCTCAATACCTGAAGTAGAGAGGAACAAGTCATTTGAAGCAGGTCAGCCCATTGTGCTGCAGTGTGAGCTCTCAGACGCCACGGCCCAGGTCTGCTGGTATAAGGATGGAATAGAGCTTCACTCAAAGACTGGAATAGACATCCAATCAGATGGAAATATGAGAACCTTGATTGTCCGGTCAGCTGATTTTATCCATTCTGGAGTATATACCTGCAAGACAAAGGGTGATGCCATCAAGTTTATTGTGGACATAAAAGGTGATTTAAAGTTTGCTTTTTTCCAATTTTGTGAAAAAAATTAACCAAGTACTTTGGTTTATTCTTGCAACTAACAATAATTGCCATCTTGTGTCTGGAGCCATATTTATGGCTTTGTCTTAACGATAGTCTTCATGAATATGTCTTAATGACATAGTCTTCATAATTCTGTGCTTTACAAAATGTTTCTTAACCCAACCTTCAATTAGCATTTTCAATCACTCTTAAAATGGCTTGCTATAATAAAATTTTAAACATATCTTATATAATGAATTATACTTCAAATAGCTGTTACTTAACTACCGAATGACAAAGTTATATTTAGGATGTTTGCCATATTAAAAGTAATTTAAAATATCTATAGCTCCACTACTGAGGTTCACTGCACTGTCTGAAACAGAGAAGAACAAGTCCATTGAAGCAGGCTGCCCGATCGTACTACAGTGTGAGCTCTCAGACCCAACTGCTCAGGTGTGCTGGTACAAAGATGGATCAGAACTGCACCCACACAGTGGAACAGACATCCAATCAGAAGGCAGCGTCAGAACTCTGACTGTACAGTCAGCAGAACCTTTGCACTCTGGGTTATACAGTTGCCAAACAAAGGATGATTCCGTACAGTTTCATGTGGACATCAAAGGTGATTGTACCATTTTTGTTTTTTCTTCTCTCAAAATTAACCCAGCATTTTCACGATGTGACTAACAATGTCAGTCTTTGATGTTGCGTGTTAATTATACATACTTAACAAGGAAACTATGTTAATAGAAATTACATCCAGCCTTCAACCCTTTTAAAGTATACATAAAATATTTTATTATGATTCTGTCATGAATCCTTGGTTAAAGCTTTGCCTGGTACCTTCTCAGCTGTGCTATAAGGTGAGAGATGGAATGATACCTTATCTATATCTATATACTGCAGTGTGGACTTTCAGATGATACTATGAACTTGCAAAGTAGAATGATAGAATAGGACCGTTCTCAAGCAGTGGACTTTCATAGTGACAGCTTGAGCAATTGCATGGTAGTTAAGATGATATCTAGTTTCTTCTGAGTACCAGAGACCGATTCTGGATGTTATTAACAATATTGTGGTCTACTTTGTTTAAGCCATAATTGTTATTAGAATAGTTTGTTGATAATTGTTGGTGGAATACTTTGTTCTGTTTGTGATGCTTTGTTTTTTCTGAAGTTTCTTGAAGTACTTACTCTGAATATCACAAATTGGTCAAAAACTGGATCTGTCACACAAAAAAATACATAACACTGATGCGCATTTCATGATTCTATTAAGAATCACCACCAGTAGCTCTACCACTGAGGTTCTCAGCTGTTCCTGAAGTAAAGAAACCGAAGTCCGTTGAACCAGGCTGCCCCATTGTACTGCAGCACGAGCTCTCACCCCCCAATGCCCAGGTCTGCGGGTACGAGGACGGAAAAGAGCTCCACCCACAAGCTGGTATAGACAACCAAACAAATGGCATCACGAGGACAGTAGTTGTCCAGACATCCGAGTTCTCCAATTCTGGAACAAACAATTGTGAGACAAAGGATGATGCCATTCAGTTTAACCTAGATTTACAAGGTGATTTACCACTATTTGGTTTTTCTTTGTTTTACAATTAACTTGATGTGTGTCCAATTGCAATTAACAATGCTAGCCTACTCTGCTCGCTTGATTTTTTTTTATCACTCTTTTTTACAAATTCAGAATTCTCAGCTGATTTGCAGCTATAATGCTGGCATTAAAAACAACTACTTCCTAATACACAGTCTTTTAAATACATAAATACTTAATATATTTGGGGCATATTTAGGATGACTAAATCAATCCGCTCGTTCGTAGCCCCACCAGTGAGGTTCTCATCTGTTCCTGAAGCAGAGAAAAACAAGTCCATTGAAGCAGGCCAGCCCATTGTACTACAGTGTGAGCGCTCAGACCCCTCAGTCTGCTGGTACACAGATGGGACACAACAATTACCAAAAGCTGATCTTGACATACAATCAGAAGGCATCACAAGGACACTGTCAGTCCAGTCAGCTGAGTTATCTCACACTGGGATGTACAGCTGTAAGACTACTGATGATGACCTCCACTTAAATGTGGAAGTTGCAGGTGATTTTTGGTTTCACTTAGTTCTCCTAATTAGACTTATTTTAACCTTTCTGGTCACGCCTGGTAAACTTGTTTTCTTTCTGGCTTTGTCTAATTAGAAAAGTTGCCTCACTCTGGGGAGTGCAGTTGTGAGATATCTGATGACGCTGTCCAGAGCACCGTGGATAACAAAGGTGATTTATGGCTGTTTCCGTATCAGTGTATCTAAAATTAATCCCTTGCATTTCTATTGGTCCGACTAATGGCTGTGTCCTCTGGCTCTCATAGCAGACAGTTCTTGTGAATGTATTAAATACACTCATGGCTAATATAGCTGCTAAGTTTCTCTCTAGAAGTTTGTTATATAGTATACAGTAATATTTAAGTGCAGTTTATTTTATAAAATATGAGATCAATTATATTGAACTGCTCAGATAACAAACCAGAATGACTACATTATTTAATTTGTCATGATTCTGTTATGAATCATTGCCTGTAGCTCCACCAATGACGTTTTCAACTATTCCTGAAGCTGAGGGGCAATTGAAGTCAATTGAAGCAGGCAACCCAATAGTACTACATTGTGAGCTCTCAAACCCCACTGCCCAGGTCTGCTGGTACAAGGATGGAAAGCAGCTCCACCCACAAGCAGGGCTAGAGATCCAATCAGTAGATTCTGTAAGGAGATTGATTATCGAATCAGCAAGCTTCTTTCACTCTGGGGTGTACAGCTGTGATACTGCTGATGATGTCATAACTTTCAAGGTGGATGTTGAAGGTGAATTTGCTCTCTATCTTTTTCTCATATAATATGTTTTAAATAAGTATTTCATCCTACTCTTAATAATTAAGACTTGGAAATTTCCTATTTGCTGATGACATTGTTCAAGAATTTGCAACTCGGAATATCCGTTTCCTCTGAATTCATCGACAGCATGTAAGTGTATATGTTTTTCTCATCTAACACCTGCTGTTAGATGCTGCTCAACCAAGTACCTATGGAATGGAACATAGACAAACACAAGGAAGATTTTATGTGCTCCATGTACCTCTTAATGCTAATGTATTGTCTACGATAAGTTTCTGATTTGCCATAGACCTCATGAAGAGTTTCAGTTATATGAATGAATGAATGAATGAATGAATGAATGAAGGCAAGCATGAATCATCTGAAGATGATCCAAAACTATTGTGTGATTTTTTTTTTCTAAATCAATAACGCTGAATTAAGGTTGTCTTTTTAGACCAACAGTTACTGTGGTCGATCCTCTTAAATGTCTTAAATTCCCAATGGATTTTCTTTGCTCTTTTCATGGACCTCTTTATAACAAGAACATAATTTAAATGACATTCCTTAATGTTTTTACTCTTTGAAATATGCACGGATAACAAATGTGTTTCATTTGAAACAACCTTCTTTGAATATAACAATAGCTTACTGAGAGCCTTTCTCTCTATACATGAAAATACCCGTAGCACCTTCAGAGAGATTCTCAGCAGTTCCTGAAGTAGAGAAGAGCAAGCCCATTGAAACAGACAGCCCAATACTGTGGCAATGCCAGCCCTCAGCACCACATAGGCAAACAGAAAAGGATGAAACAAAGTGCAGACCACAAGCCGAATTGGACATTCAGTCTGAAGACCGCATGAGAAGATTGGCTGCCCAGTCAGAGCTCTGTCACTCACAGGAATACAGTTGTGAAGTGGATGATGATCTCTTAACACTTAAGGTGGATGTTAAAGGTGATTTAAATAATCAACACCATGAAGAGAATATATTACTTTTGTGTAATGTATATTATACTACCCTTGCTTCTGTTATTCTTAAGCAACTTTTTGGGTGTGGGCATTTGTAATATTTAGCAATACTAACCAATTCTTCATTTGTGTCATTATGCAATCATATCTGAGAACTTGAAAATTCTTGAAAATTCAGCAGGTCTATCTTGATGATTCACATTTAGTAATATGATTTTTTTCTCATGACTTAAAACACTTCTAGCTCCATCAACCAAGTTCAAAGTGGTTCCTGAACTAGAGAGGTGTACATCGGTCAACGTCGGCTGTCCCATTGTGTTGCACTGTGAGGTCTCAGACCCGACTACCCAGGTATCCTGGTACAAGAATGTCACTGAGCTCCTCTCAAAGCCTGGACAAGATATCAAATCAGAAGGCACCACAAGACAGCTCATCATTCAGTCCGCAGAGCTTTCTCACACAGGATTGTACAGCTGTGAGGCAATGGATGATGCTGTCCAGTTTAATGTGAACGTCAAAGGTGACCTGCAACTATGCTCTAGTTATATTCATAAACTAACATGCAGTTTTCTTGGAAAAAAGCAGTGCGCTAACACTTCTGTCTTGACATTAAGCAATTAAAGCAATAAAGGCCAGGATTAATTCAAAATACTAAACAACTAAAATGCTTTGTGAGACTTGACATGGATTTTAATACTATATAGTGACCATACTAAACTTAAATATACAAAATCACAAGTAATGAGTATCTAATGTCTGTGTTTCTAGGTAGCTATACATAATATACATATAAATCCATAACATTTAAATTATATTTTCTCATAATCATTTCACCTTTCTTTGACACACTGAAGAGTCCATAGTGCCAACATTGAGATTTTCAGCGATTCCAGAATTAGAGAAGAACAAGTCCATTGAAGCAGGCCAGCCCATTGACCTACAGTGTGAGCTCTCAGACTCAAGCGCCCAGGTCTGCTGGTACAAGGATGGGATGGAACTTCAGCCAAAGACTGGAATAGACATCCAATCAAATGACAATATGAGAAGACTGGTTATTCAGTCTGCTGATTTTATCCATTCTGGGGTATACAGCTGCAAGACAGAGGGTGATGCTGTCGAGTTTAATGTGGACGTCAAAGGTGATTTAAGATTCTTTTTTATTGTGGTTGTGTGTTCTCATATATAACCAAACACAATTACCTTGTCTATGTCTGCAGCTTGACTTTTGAAGGATATAATCTTTGTTTTTGTACAGCTTATAACTGTTTTTTCCTAAATGCATTATTTATCTTAGCTATCGCATTCAATAATTGTCATCATTTCTATATTAAAATGACTAAAAATATCTATAGCTCCCCCAGTGAGATTCAAAGATCTTTCTGAAGCTGAGAAGATCAAGTCCATTGAAGAAGGCTGCCCCATTGTACTACAGTGTGAGATTTCAGACCCTACTGCACAGGTCTGGTGGTACAAGGATGGAATAGAACTCCACCCACAAGTTGGAATAGACATCCAATCAGACGGGAACATCAGGAAACTGACTGTCCAATCAGCAGAAATGTCACACACAGGACTGTATGTCTGTGCAGTTGTGGAGGATGACATTACATTTAAAGTGGTTGTTCAAGGTGATTCAAAATTTAAAGTGACAAACTTTACAATTGCAATTTATTTAATTGTTTTTTTTAACCACAGGAATAATTAAAAGTTGCCGATAATTTTAGGACGTACTTTTCAAATAGTGTGAATATGATTTAAAATGCATACCTTATTATAGAAAAAATAATGATCTATGAATAAAAATTTGCCTTAATTTAGTTAATGTTCATTTATCAATAATCCAAAAAAAATTCCAAGCAAAAGAAAATACATTTCAAATTCAAATTTCACAGTATACTTAGGGTATCGTGGGTTTAAAAATTATGAAAAAGAACGTCCAGTATATTATGTATACATATTTCAGGGGAGCTCAATATGACTTTAAGATTTGTCTGATAATATAATTTATTAAATATCAATGCAGTGATAAGGCAGTGACAAGTTTTTGTTTATTACGTTTATATTTATTATTTTGAAGTAAGAAAAATGGACGTAATTTTTAAATACGTGTTAAACTCCTCAGCCCCACTGGTGAAGTTCTCAGATGTTCCTGAAGCTCAAAGGCACAAGTATGTGAAGCCAGGCTGCCCCATAATACTGCAGTGCGAGGTCTCAGACCCCAGTGCCCAAGTCCAGTGGTACAAGGATGGAATAGAGCTCTACTCAAAGACTGGAATGAACTTCCAGTTAGAAGAAAACATCAGGAAACTGACTATCGATTCAGCAGAAACATCACACTCAGGAGTTTACAAATGTGTGGCTCTGGACGATGTTATTACGTTTAAAGTCGATGTTCAAGGTGATTTAAAACTTAATACGTGAAACTGTCCAGTAATAATTAATGATCAGTCATTTATCAGGGAAATATTTAATGTTATTTAATGCGTTTATTCACAAATATGCTTGCTTTTCTTATTGAATACAAGTAGGCCTATTAAGGAACGCATACCCAGAAATTAATATAAGTGGATATTAAATTTTTTTGTACGTATTTAAATCCTCAGCTCCACCTGTGAAGTTCTCAGATGTTCCAGAAGCTCAAAGGCACAAGTGTGTTAAGCAGGGCTGCCCCATAATACTGCAGTGTGAAATCTCAGATTCCGCTGCCAAGGTCTGGTGGTACAAGGACGGAATGCAGCTCCACCAAAAACTTGGTCTAGACATCCAATCAGATGGGAATATCAGGAAACTGACCGTCCAATCAGCAGAAATATCACACTCAGGAGTGTACAGCTGTGGAGCTGTTGATGATGCAATTGCATTTAAAGTGGATGTTCAAGGTGATTTAAAACTTAGACCAGCAAACTTGAGCATTAATCAGTAAGAATTAAATATTTGGGAAAAAAATTATGCTACACTTAACCACAACTACTGTATGTATTTACATTTTTTTTAATTGAATAAAATGTAATTTAACAGCATATCTAGTTATGCAAAATTAATGTAATTTTAGTTAAGGTGCCAAAATGATTCTATATCAAGATAAATACAATCTCACGCATAAAAATGTAGTTTAAATATTTAATGTTATACATTATGCCTAAAAAACGACCTGGTTTTAAAATTATATATAACCAACATATGTTTAAAGATTATAATCAGTTTAGGCAATGTGAATGTTAATTTTATATTTTATGTCCAATTTAAAGGCATCAATGCAATCATGTTTTTTTCATATTATTTTAAATCAGCGTTTTACTTTATTATTAAGTAAAAAATGGATTTCTTATACGTATTAAATTCCACAGCTCCACCTGTGAAGTTCTCAGATGTTCCTGAAGCTCAAAGACACAAGAGTGTTAAGCCAGGCTGCCCCATAATACTGCAGTGTGAGGTCTCAGACCCCACTGCCCAGGTCTGCTGGTCCAAGGATGGAATAGAGCTCCACCCAAAGACTGGAATAAACATCCAATCAGAAGGCACCATGAGGACACTGATTATCCAGTCAGCAGACATCTGTCACTCTGGAGTATACAGCTGTAATACAATGGATGATATCATCCAATTTTATGTGGACATCAAAGGTGATTCTCAAGCTATTTCTGTGCTTTATTCCTTAACTGCTGTGGTATATAGAAGCAACTAACTATCGTAGCAGATTTTGTTATTGCTAACTTTATTGGCTTCATAGGTAACCATAGAAAAATCATTGTTTTTGGTGGCAATAACATTCTACTAAACATATTTCCCAAGAAGCAATACGATATTAGTTTCAGGAAATTAATAAATGTGTGAAGAGTATCTTAATGCGGTCCTGGTCAACACACAGCTTGTACAACTATATTTAAATGAACAAATTCATTTTGACATAAACAATATAATAGTAATAAACAAATAATTTGAAACAGCATAGTAGATTTAAAAAGAGATGATGAAGTTAACCAAGTATAATTAATCACAATGTTGGCCAGGGAAAACAGGAAAAAATATTTCTGATGAAATTCACAAAACAAAACCTCCTGTGTTGTTTAATTCTTTACTTTACAGTCTCTGTAATTGTTCTTTGATTGATATATAATAATGAGATTCGTGAGCTACACTGATTGACAGTGAAACATAAATATTATAGTATAGTATAACCTATACTTTGGGGAGTACATTCCTGTAATTACCCCAGAGACAGACATAGTATTGAACTGAAAGGAATTGAGCTTTCCTAACATAGTTAGTAGCCAGTCTTTGTACTGTTTGTTCATGTTTATGTGGTGACCTGTATCTGTGACTTTATATAGCCATAGAAATTTCCAACTCTTCAATCTTACAGTTTGGCTTTTCTGAACCTGTCTCTGTGTTTGTCGTGAGTGTCTATGTTGTTAATGTCTTTATTCAATTTCCTCTTTATTTTCTTAAATCCTTCACTTAAGAAACCCAGCAAAAAACTTTGTGCACAAATCAAGAACTTTTTTGTGGTGGATTTTTACTACTGCTGCCTTTAGACTGGAACTCTTGCTAAGGCTTATGGCAGAGATTTATTGTAATTGAAAAGCTAGTATTTAGTTTACTTTCTTCACCCACAAAGTATTTCCTGTGCAACTAAAGGAAATGATAATAATGTATCTTTAAACTGGCTACATTTCTTCCTATGAGATCATCAAAAAACATTTTCTTTTGTGTAGTGGAACTCTTTGGAAGAGAGTTTGATTATTTCTGTGGAATTTAGTCCTCAAGTATGTGTCATAAATATGCTACCAATTATTTACTCCTACAGAGTCTTATAGTGTGGTTAATTTTTATCAATTTTATTCAGTTAAAAGCACAGCTTAGATTATTCATTGATTGATTACAATACATTTTTATATATTTTTATATACAATAATTATCCCAGCTTCAACAGCAATTTTGTCACCGATTCCTGCATCTGAGAAGAGCAAGTCAATTGAAGCAGGCTGTCCCACTGAAGCACAGTGTGAGCTCTCAGATCCGAACTCTCAGGTTTGGAAAACAGATGGAACAGAACTCCACCCGCAAACTGGAATAAATGTCCAAATAGAAGACATCCAAAGGACAATGCCAGTCCCTTTAGCTGAAATAGCCAAAGCTGGACTGAACAGCTGCAAGACAACAGATAATGTTTTGAAGTTTACTGTGGACAATGAAGGTGATTCTTCCAGCAGTATTTCTAAATTTAAAATTAGCCTTACTTATTGTCATGGACCCAGAGGCGTAAAGTAATCTGATTTTCCAAACTTTTATATATGTATGTATTATATTAATTATTTTAATCAACTTGTCTTGTAACTTACTTTATGATAAATCAAGTATCTCTGGGTGCTGGGAATTTTGACGTTAATTTTGACGTGTTTCTCTGTAAAACTTAACTCCCCTCAGCTCCATCAGTGAAGTTCGTAGAACTTCCAGAAGTAGAGAGGCACGAATCTGTTGAGGCAGGTCAACCTATTATACTACCATGTGAGCTCTCAGACCCCTCTGACCAGGTCTGGTACAAGGATGGAACCGAACTCCCAAAGCTTGGAATTAATATCCAATCAGAAGTCAACATAAGAACACAGGTTATCCAATCAGCAGACTTCTGTCACTCTGGAATATACAGCTGTAACACAGGGGATGATGCCACCCAGTTTTATGTGGACAGCAAAGGTGATTCCCTAAACTCTGTTTCTGCTGTGTTCAACTGTCTTGCTTTGTTCTGGTTGACTGGGTTGTAGCAGTCACCAAACAATACGCTTTGATCTTTAAAAGTCATTAAACCATATATACTAATAATATATCTTATAGAACCTTTTCTTGAGTAATGAATGTGATGAGGCAGGGGCTCAGCAGGATGTAGGTTAAAATCTATCTTGACTGCGGGATATTTGCATGTTCTCCTGGTGTTTGCGTGTTTTTTTTTTTCTAATCACGTCTTATCCCAAAACTTCATTATACAAATACATAACATTCAGATCATATAATTATTTAATAAAAGAAAATTGCCTTTAGTACATTTTTTTTTCTTTAAATATATGTAATATCTACTAATGAACTGGCGTCAACCATGGTCAATCATGTCTTATGATCTGTTTTTAATTATACATACCCAAAGTACTTAAGATCACTAACTGTGAAGGACAAATTTCTGTTAGCCACTTATTGGCAAATTGTCTTAAATATAAAATGGAGACATTTCATTTGAACAGAAGAAATCTGGATTCTTGGAGCTATTAGCCAAACTGGGCTGACCTGGAAAATAAAATATAACATCTTTACTCTTGTTTCATTGTTGAACGTCATGGTGTTTGTTGACCATCACTGTCTGTGAATTTAACATTGTCTGTTTTTGTTGTGTATCTTCTTCATGTTTATGTGTTATTTCATGCAAGTTTACATGTGTCTGTCATCCACACAGATTGTCTATATTATAGACCAAAGTGTGTCAAATGTTTATGTCATATGTCTGGGAAAATGTGAAGAATATTCTTATGATCTACCTCCTCCAGTTGTTGTGGAAACACAGTTATGTACACTGCCGTCTTATGGATGGTGAATGTAACTGTTGAACCCCTGGTATTTCTGTGATTCTATATTCATTTTTAAAATAAAATAGGCCTTGAATGTCTTATCTTGAATTGATATCTTTTTATATGTATTATTATGGTAAGACTTTTTATATAAAAACCCCAATAGCTCTGCCAGAGAGACTCGCTTCAATTCCTGAAGTAGAGATGAACAAGTCCATTGAACCAGGATGCCCCATTGTACTACAGTGTGAGCTCTCAGACCCAACTGCCGAGGTCTCCTGGTACAAGGATGGAATAGAGCTCTCTCCACAAGTTGGTATAGACATGCTGTCTCATGGCAACTCAAGGACACTTTCAGTCCGATCAGCTGAGTTATGCCATACCGGAGTGTACAGCTGTAAGACAAAAGATAATGTCATCCATTTTAACGTGGATATTAAAGGTGATTTTTCAGCTGCTATGAATTTATTGAGATTGTATTCTGAATTAACCCTGTACTTTGTTGTAGTGTCAACTGCATCTTCTTTGTCTGGCTTTGTCTTGGCACTCTTTAGCAAAACATATGTGATTCATCGCTGACATTGTTTATAATACATTGCTTTGCCTCTGGTATTTAAATGCTAAATATTAACTGTTAAAACCCACAGATTGTTTTGAAATAATTTGGTGGGTAACAGTAATTTCTCTCTGTATAAATTCCCCGTAGCTGCATCACCAAGATTCATTGAACTTCCAGAGGCAGAGAGGAACAAGTGCGTCGAAGCCGGCAGCCCCATTACACTACAGTGTGTCGTCACAGACGCCAGTGCCCTTGTCTGCTGGTCCAAGGATGGAGTTGAGCTTATCCCAAATAAAGAAACTGACATTCAGTCAGATGGCACCATGAGGGGAGTGGCCATCCGATCTGCAGAGCTCTGTCACTCTGGGGTATACAGCTGTGTCCTTGCTGATGATGTCATGACATTTATGCTGGATGTTCAAGGTAAAAAATATCTGTGAGACAAAATGTAAACAATATATAATGATATTATTTTATTGGTTTAAAGGTTATTGTCAATAATAAAACATATTATTGATTATTATTGTCAATTAAATGATTATTACTTTTCATTTGTTTTAATAATAATATAATCTTAATAATTTTATCCAAGTGGGCCATTAAATGTGCCTGAAAGTATTTTAACATATTTAAAGTAGCTTCTAAATGAAACATTACTTGCACAGCTCCACCAGTGAAATTCTCAGCAGTTCCAGAAGTAGAGCGGTACAAATCAGTTGAAGCAGGCCAGCCCATTGTACTACAGTGCAAGCTGTCAGATCCCACTGCCCAGGTTAAGTGGTACAAGGATGGAATAGAGCTCTCTTCACAAAATGGAACAGACATCCAATCAGATGGTTCCATAAGGAGACTGGTCATCCAATCAGCACAGCTTTCACATTCTGGGGAGTTCAGCTGTGATGCTGTCGATGATGTCATTGCATTCGAGGTGAAGGTCGAAGGTAATTTTCCCCATACTTTCTACCTAGACCTCTAACAAATCTGTGCCATCTACTAACACTATAATATATATTATTATGTAAAAAGACAAATCTATAAAAGAAAAAGTATATAATTTCAAATATTCTCTCTGTAAAAACAGCCTAACAAAGCATTCTTTAAGAAGTGGAGCTTTTTACAGAATAATTGAGAAATGTGATGTTTCTGTGCAGTGACTCAGTGGGTGACAATATGACCTTTGACCTGCAGGGCTGGCTCCTGGCTCTGTGTGTGTGGAATTTGCATGTTCTCAGGCTACTCTGGTTCCCTCCCACATCCAGAGGACATGTGGGCTAGGTGAACTGGTTTTTCTATATTGCTTGTAACGTGTGCATGTGCATGCCCTGTAATGGACTGGCGTCCTGTCTAGTCCCAGTACTGCCCTGTGCTTTCTGAAATAAACTCCCAACTAGTCATAACAATGCATTATATAAGGATGGCTGGATTTTTCAGAATTTTTGAATATACCGGCCAACTGTTTTAGAACTACATATTTCATTGAACTTAATATGCCTAGCTTATAAGAAATATTGATTGTTGTTCAGTATCTGGTACTTATATTACTCTGAAATGTACAGGTATAACTCATTTCAAGATTTAAGTTTATTATTTTCTATGAAGAGATATAAAAATAAACATATTTCTTTGAACAAATTAAAACACTTGTAGCTCCACCAGTGAGGTTCTCAGCTGTTCCTGAAGTAGAGAAGAACAAGTCCATTGAAGCAGGCCAGCCCATTGTACTACAGTGTGAGCTCTCAGACCCCACTGCCCAGGTCTGCTGGTATAAGGATGGAATACAGCTTCACCCAAAGACTGGAATAGATATCAAATCAGAAGGCACCATGAGGACACTGATTATCCAATCAGCAGACCTTTCTGGGGTTTACAGTTGTAAAACAGCTGATGATCTCAGTGAATTTTATGTGGATGTTAAAGGTGACATAAAAACCTTTGTAGATTTTTTTCTGTTGGTTTCATTGTCAGCAAACTAACAAATCCATAATGCAATCTAATACTTCCAAACAATTCTTGAATAATTGAACATAATTTGTTTGGTTCTGGTTCTGCAAGCATTTAACCAGTTTTCTGAAACTGCACTTTTTGTTACTGTAAGTCTAAGCCATGCATCTAACATTTTTTCATTCTGTGTAATCTATTCACAAGAATACATGAAACTTTTCAATCATCGCAGGAAACTACAACAGAATATTGCATGGCTGCCAAATGATGTTTCACTGGCTTTCAGGCCTAATCGCTTTACAAATCACTTGGCTTTCATTAACCTGTCCTTTACTTTCACAGTGGAGGAAGTTCATCATCATCTTCATCATCAAAGCGCTTCAATGTGAATGCATGCATAACATGTACAGTCTTTCTCTTAATTTGAACCTTTTTTGTCAGCTCACTGACCAAGTCATTGAATACTTCCTTACAGCACCTCTTGTTACATTTGTGGAAATGCCTGAAGAGAATCTACAGAAAAATGTTGTGGAACTAGATCCTCTTGTCTTGCACTGTGAACTCTCAAGACCTGATGCCGCCACTCAGTGGTATAAGGATGGGGTCGAGATTAAACCAGGCAACAATATAATCATGAAAGCAGATGGGACCCAAAGGCAACTAATTATCCAGACAACTCAGCTTTCAGACAGTGGAACATACACATGCCGTGCAGGAGACAATACACTTCTATTCAAAGTTAGCATACGAGGTATGGAACTAACACTTCATGTATACATTAAAACTCAAAGCTGTCTTATGGTTCTGTTTTCTAGCCATTCAATGCATTCCTTTTCACAGAGCCTCCTGTGATGATTGTCTATCCCAAAGAAGATGTCCACCTTGATCGTTATGTCTCGGAGGAAATAGTGTTAAGCTGTGAGTTGTCGCGTCAAAATGGAACAGTGAACTGGTATAAGGATGGCCAGAAGCTCCAGGAAAGCGAGAACATCAAAATAAAGTCTGAAGGCCCATATAGGAGACTCAAAATTCTTCATGGCACTGCAGAAGATTCTGGAGAATATGTGTGCGATACTGCAGATGACTCTATCTTTTTTCAACTCAATATAACTGGTAAAGAACTGTGTCAAAATATGTCTGTTTTGTATGATTGCTGCCTGTCTCTTGTACATCTGCTGTTGCACAGTCCATTAAAGATTGAATGAATTTTGTCCCTTGAAAATTGCCAAGAAAGTTCACTGGCTTCTACAGTCAGTCCTGCTACAACGCTTGATGTCACACTGCAAATCCGTTCTAACATGACTGATATATTAGTACCCAAGTCCAATACAATGCAGAATCGCATTTGTAATTCTGCGATTTTCAGTCAGAGACAAAAACACTACACAAACTACGTGATATGGTCTTAGCGAGAAACATTACTTGCACACAAAAACAGCTATTCAAGTGAATGATAGTGATGTCCAATTCGTGAACAAATAATTTTGAACCAGTTCTTTTCAGTGAATCAGCCAAACCGGTTTTCAAATCTAAAAGAGTTAAACTTTTAGTACATCCACGCATTGCAGAGGTCAAAGTCAGATTCTAAAAATCCAAAATTTAACAAAATATTATATAAAAACACAGCAACCTTTGCTGGGCTAGATGGTACTCTCTGTTCAAAAGGGTTCAGAGCATGCCCCAAACTAAACTAAAAGCACCATCCAGTGGGGTCAGAAAAAACATCACGTGGTTCATAAAGCGACATTTTGGCCATCACTACTCCCGACTCTCCGACAAGGTATCAAGGTCAGCATGTTCAGGTGAAGTGGTTACTAGGCAATTCTCAAAAGACCCATAGGAAATGTTTGTGATATAATTTATTAATGTATTATTTCTTTTTTAAAATGTATATAATTACATTATTGGCCACTGGTAACACTAATTTATTAATTAATTTTGTTTGGAGTAAGTTGGAGTTGTTTTCCCTTAACCCTGTTTTCCTTATTGGATATGTGTATTTTAGTACACGATTTTAGTGAATGCGAGGTTTTTCAGGAACGTATTATTCATGTTGTATCAGGACTGACTGTACTTCTTTTTCAGAGGCTCCTGTCCGCATCGTCTCCCCCAGCCAGTCTCAAATGGAATTGTGCCAGCAAACTTCGGAGCGGGTGGTTTTGAGTTGTGAACTCTCAAGAGCTAATGCACCGGTACGCTGGTACCGTGATGGTCTCGAGGTTGAAGAAAACGACAATCTTATCCTGGAGGTCGATGGGATCTACAGACGACTCATCATCCCCGAGACCACAGTGCAGGACTCTGCTGAATATGTGTGTGACACAGCTGATGACTCTGTGACCTTCTTTGTGAATATTGCAGGTATTTACAATACTAACAAAAACATGTAAACCTTCTGATCCTTAAATTCCCATGGATGAAACATATCTGAATCAAATGTTTTATCCTTAAAACCTTCAAGAGTGAAGTCTAAATCAGGCTTTGATGATGGGATGTACTGATTCAGAAATTCTTGATTGATCTACAACTCTAAACTTTTTATATCCAGAACCACCAGTAAGGTTTGTGCGCCCCAGAAAGATGGCAAGCACTGTGGAAAGTATTGTTGGGGATCCAGTAGTGCTTGAGTGTGAGGTGTCACGAGCAAGTGCCCAAGTGAGCTGGAAAAAGGATGGAGAGGAGATGGAAGAAAGCAGAAACATCACCATTATTGAAGATGGTATTTCCCGCCAATTAACCATACGCTCATCGAGATTGGAGGATTCAGGCCAATATATTTGTGATGCGAAAGACGATGTGATGGATTTTACAGTAAAAATCAGTGGTAAGTATTAACCGGTTGTTAGGTTTTTTCTAACAGCCAGTTTTTCCCTTCACACTTTTCATGTTAATCTCTCGTAGAGAAACCAGTAAAAATCCTGAGCAAAAGCAACACAACAGAGCAGCAGTTTGAGACTTCTGAAGATATTGTCTTGGAGTGTGAGCTCTCTAGAGCGAATGGCATTGCCAAATGGTACAAAGATGGTGAGAATATAGTAGAAAATGAGCGTTTCTACTTTGAGGAGGATGGAACTTTCCGTTCACTAGTCATCATGAATGCTGAGCTCACAGACTCTGGAAAATATGTCTGTGATGTCAGAGATGACAAGATTGTCTTCCATGTTACTGTAAAAGGTATTCTAGTGCATTGCACTGTGGAATCAGCTTCAACTTTGTAGATATTTGGAAAATGCTGGACTTCACAGAGTCTCTAAGTATGCATATAATTGATTTAATGACAATTGTTTTCGTTTTCAGAACCTCCAGTTACAATCCTGGGCAACTCAGGCAGCCCAGAGCATCATAGCCTGTTAGCAGGAGATGACCTCATCTTGGAGTGTGAAGTCTCTCGAGCTAGCGCTACTGTGGATTGGTACAGCGACGGAAAGCTTTTGAGCTCAGATTCTCGTACCCATATTGAGAGCTATGGAACCGTCAGGAAGCTTGTCCTATCAAGGCTGCAGCCCTCAGACTCAGGGACGTACACATGCGATGCTATTGATGACAAGATGAGCACCATAGTAAAAGTTCAAGGTAAAACAAATATTCGTTTTCTTTTTTATTCCTAAAATACGAACCTTAGTTTTGACCCTTACAAATACATGGGTTTTTTTCTTATAGAAACGCCCCTCAAGTTCTTAGACAAACCAGAGTCAAACATAATCACGGCTTATGAAAAGGAAAGCGTGACATTCAATGTAAAGGTGTCTCAGGACAATGCCACACTACAATGGCTAAAGGAGTTGAAACAGTTAACAGGAGACCGTATCCATACAAGAAGTGAGGGGAACACTCACTTCCTAACCATTACAGATTTACAGCGGTCTGACAGTGGCAGGTACACTTGTGATGCCAGCACTGATCAGATGCACTTCAATCTAACAGTGAAAGGTAAGGATATACATTATATTATACAGGTTATATCCTTAATTTTCTGCACTGTTTTTGTTAATCGATGTATACAGATACGTTGCCAGTGGTACCAAACCAAGTCTGGTTTACTTTTACTCCAAATAAAATTACAAGGAAAGAAAAAGAGCCCTGTAGACCATAAAAGGAACCATTGTACTAACGAATGGAGACTCGAAAGAACAGCAGCAATGCTTTTTTAAAGTATTTTTCTGAATTTGTGTGGTCACTTATATTGTGATACTGTTTTTATTCATCAGCATTCAGAGTGACATTTGTAAGGCCACTGGAAAATACAGTGGCCCAAAAGGACGGCCTTATCACACTACAGTGTGAGCTCAATGAAACCAAAGGAGATGTGCTCTGGCTGAAAGATGGTCAGGAGATCACTCCCAGTTGCCGACTGGCCATCCGGGCAGAAGGCCGAGCTCGTAGCCTGACCATCCGTAACATAAGTGAGAGAGACGCTGGGGAGTATACCTGCGAATCAAAAGATGATAGAACATCTGCCAGGATGATAGTGGAAAGTATGTGGAAATCAATAAACATTTTTGCTAGCTATGAGAAATAAATCGAATCATAAACAGAGTTGACTCGTTTATAATATATTCTTTTAATTAATCTTATTCATATTTGTTTTTTTGTCCACACTAGCACCTCGAGTTGTGGAGTTCATTGCTGAACTATACAACACCACCGTCCTTGAAGGGGAAGATGCCACATTTAAGTGTATGGTCTCCCCGGAGGACGTACAGGTGGTGTGGTACAGGGATGGCCAGCCGATCACTCCGGATGAGAGGTTTACAGTGTCCAGTAACGGGCTGTGCCACACAGTGCACATCCACAACTGCCAAGTCTCTGACAGCTGTAGGATCACTGCAATGGCTGAAGGGTTAAAGTCAGAAGCCAGCCTAAAGGTCCAAGGTGAGAGGACAATCAGTTAATGCTTTCTGTGAATTTCAAGCTATGAGTAGACGGCATGGCCCATATTTACGAAGCAGGCTAAAAGTAACTCCTAACATGCCCATTTAGGAGATAGTCCTAATTTATTTGACAAAGAGCAATTCAGAAAGCCCCTTAGTGGTAAAAGTAGCGCCTATGTCTGGGAGAACTGAAAAGTATTTGAGAGGACTCCTATGTCACTAAGACCAACTCACAAATAGTCACAAAATGGCTGCTGTCAATCTGCGTTGCAATGTCTTGGAAACATTTAACAAACGCTGAATTACTTAAAGGATACCGTCTCAGTCAGGAGGGAATACTGATGGTTGTGGAGCTTGTGAGGGATGCAATAACATCTCCAACCAACCGAAATGACCCAATCATATACAGTGGAAACCACTCGAAAAGGAAGCAGGATTGTGTATGCTGGCCTCTGCTAACTGAACCTAACTTCTGTTGCTGGAATAAATTAGCCCACTAGAGGTGATCTGTCAGAATCACGGGGTCCCAGGGTCCGGTTTAAATTCTTTATTGAAGAATTGTCACTTCTCTACAATCTTCCAGTTACTGGATTACTCCAATGTACAGGCTTGACTATAAGTGTTTTTTTCTACATGCAATAAGCAACAGTAACATAAATAAACCAAAGTAGTTTGAGCACTTAGACAGGAAAACTATGCTATACCGAAATGATAACATTACAAGGGGTGGCTGTCTGACCTTAAATATGTGCAACATATTATAATATGAATTACAGAGGCATGTCATTTTACAACATACTCTTTAACATATTCTTTAGGCAAAACAAACACCTGTGCATTAGGCATCTGTACCCTTATAACTAACCATGTGGTTACCCTAACTGCTAGCTACTTCACATGTCCATAATCCAGTAAATAATAATATACCATATTAAACAACTAAGTTGTATGGAGGGTTTAGAAAATTTAATATAAACAGACTAGCATCTGTATATAAGTGCTTCATTTCTGATACACGTAGGTATAGAAGGCGCACTTATTTTAGCGGTGCTGAATGATTAAAATTATCTGACTAGCGCATCTACATTGCTTAAGAACTTCATTAATTACCTCCTTTTGGACCGCTATCAGTATGAACGTTAAGCTAGCGGAATATGGGCATGGGCTCATTAGCAGGGTAACCATGAGGAAGTACAGTTACTAAACTGACTCTCGCAAGGCGAATAACCCGTTCGAAAATTAAAGGGAAGGCGAGCGACAAACTAGGCGCGAGACGATCTCGGGAACACCAGCTACAGACACAATGCAACAGGGATGCTCGGCCGAGTTATGTTGTATGTACACTGCTCTATTGGACTAAACCATTGCATAAATGAAAAAAGGGAATAGCCTTTTAAACACCGCTTATATGGATCACATCTCTCTGGGTGAAATTGATCATTGTAAGCGGGTGATAATTCTAACTGATTTTTTTTTCTTTCTGTCTCAGGCAGATTACCATATAATTGACATTTGTGTATTTACTACATAAATATAAGGTAATAAAACGAACAGCACCGCTATGTACTGAATTTTATTAACCCGTTCAAAATTCAGTACAGCTATTTCAGGCACAAATTAAATTGTATAATTCAATTACGCAATAACATACAAGAACGAGTGCGGTTGTACTCCAATAAATCATGGCTATGATGTAAGAGGACTACCTGATTACTACTGTATAAGCAAATTATTTAAACAGTATTTGTACAGGAATGATTCTGTCCTAAGCTTTTTGATGCATATAAGTGGTTGATCACTATAGCCATGATCACTATAAGTGGTTTCCTCTGTATTTGTGTTTAGGGGATGTTGCGCATACATTTTCACCAGCACATACTAGCTTATCATCAACCAATCCTCGTGGTTATTGCAGGCAAACTGACGTCAGCCTTAGTGATGGAGTCTTACTCTTAACTTAGGTGTTGGGTCTTCTCCTAACTAAAAGTTGCTCTCAGCCACTTTGTGAATAGGTTTTAGGAAAAAACTCTTAATGTGATTTAGGAGTACTCTTAGTGGTAAGATAAAATGCTTTGTGAATACAGGCCCAGATTTTTAGCATCTTTCATTTATGGTTGCTCTCTCTGTACTAATCACACACTTTGTATATAGCTAATTGCTAAAAAAAATATGTGGATTATATTGGGTAAAACAGACCACATAGCTTGGGTCAATGTGCCTAAGTGGTTCAGGTAGACAACTAGCTGTGAGCTTTTAGTAGGACTGTTTTTTTGATGGGCACATAGGAAGGGGCCTCCACTAAAAAGGGGCCTCAGTAAGGGGCAACTTTTACCAATGCCACACCCCCTAATCATTCTCCCCCTCCAATGGGCTCACCACCTGTAGGAGGGGCCGAAGGGATTGGGTGCAGTGCTAGTTGGGAACTGGCCGAAGGCGGGGACCTTGGCGGTCCGATCCTCGGCTGCAGAAGCTAGCTCTAGGGACATGGAATGCCACCTCTCTGGTGAAGAAGGAGCCTGAGCTGGTGTCCGAGGTTGTGAGGTTCCAACTAGATATAGTCGGGCTCACCTCAACACACGGCTCCTTGAAGGGGGTTGGACCCTCTTCCACGCCAAGCAGGGGTGGGCATACTTACATTGGGGTTGGTTACATTAGTTACATTGGGTGCCTGTACATTGGGGTTTACCGCAGTGGACGAGAGGGTAGCCTCCCTTTGCCTTCGGGTGGGGGGACGGGTCCTGACTGTTGTTTGCACTTATGGGCCAAATGGCAGTTCAGAATACCCACCCTTTTTGGAGTCCTTGGGAGGGGTGTTGGAGAGCACTCCTTCCGGAGACTCTCTTGTTCTGCTGGGGGACTTCAATGCTCACGTGGGCAATGACAGTGAGACCTGGAGGGGCGTGATTGGGAGGAACGGCCCTTCCGATCTGAACCCGAGTGGTGTTTTGTTATTGGACTTCTGTGCTCATCACGGATTGTCCATAATGAACACCATGTTCAAGCATAAGGGTGTCCATATGTGCATTTGGCACCAGGACACCCTAGGCTGCAGTTCAATGATCGACTTTGTGGTCGTGTCATCGGACTTGCGGCCGCATGAATTGGACACTCGGGTGAGGAAAGGGGTCGGAGCTGTCAACCGATCACCACCTGGTGGTGGGTTGGCTCTGCTGGTGGGGGACAAAGCCGGTCAGACCTGGCAGACCCAAGCGTATAATGCGGATCTGCTGGGAACGTCTGGCGGAATCCCCTGTCAGAAGGAGCTTCAACTCCTACCTCCGGCAGAACTTCGTCCATGTCCCGGGGGAGACGGGGGATATTGAGTCCGAATGGGCCATGTTCCGTGTCTCCATTGTGGAGGTGGCTGACTGGAGCTGTGACCATAAGGTGGCCGGTGCCTGTCGCGGCGGCAATCCCCGAACCCGCTGGTGGACACGAGTGGTGAGGGATGCCGTCAAGCTGAAGGAGTCCTATCGGGTCTTTTTGGCCTGTGGGACTCCAGAGGCAGCTGATGAGTACCAGCGGGCCAAGCAGAACGCAGCTTCGGCGGTCGCTGAGGCAAAAACACGGGTATGGGAGGAGTTTGGCGAGGCCATGGAGAACGACTTCCAGACGACTTTGAGGAGATTCTGGTCCACCATCTGGCGGCTCAAGGCGGGAAAGTGATGCAGCGTCAACACTGTTTATGGTGGGGATGGGGCACTATTGACCTCAGCTCGGGATGTTGTGGGTCGGTGGAACGAACACTTCGAAGACCTCCTCAATCCCACCAACATGCCTTCCAATGAGGAAGCAGAGTCTGGGGACTTGGGGTGGACTCCCCTGTCTCTGGGGCGGAACTCGCTGAGATGGTTAAAAAGCTCCTCAGTGACCGGGCCCTGGGGGTGGATGAGATCCGCCCGGAGTTCCTCAAAGCTCTGGATGTTGCGGGGCTTACACGCATCTGCAGCATCGCGTGGACATCGGGGGCGGTGTCTCTGGATTGGCAGACCAGGGTGGTGGTCCCCCTCTTCAAGAAGGGGGACCGGAGGGTGTGTTCCAACTATAGGGGGATCACACTCCTCAGCCTCCCTGGTAAGGTCTATTCAGGGGTGCTGGAGAGGAGGGTCCATTGGATAGTCAAATCTCGGATTCAGGAGGAGCAGTGTAGTTTTCACCCTGGCCGTGGAACAGTGGACCAGCTCTATACTCTCGGCAGGGTCCTGGAGGATGCGTGGGAGTTTGCCCAACCAGACTACATGTGCTTTGTGGACTTGGAGAAGGCATTTGACCGCGTCCCTCGGGGAGTCCTGTGGGGAGTGCTCCGGGAGTATGGGGTGCCGGGCTAGTGTGAAGTGGCTGGGATGAAAATCCGAGACCATGGTTCTCAGCCGGAAATGGGTGGAGTGCACTCTCTGGGTCGGGGAGGAGGTCCTTCTCCAAGTGGGGGAGTTTAAGTATTGTTCACGAGTGAGGGAAGGATGGAGCGGGAGATGGACAGGCGGATCGGTGCAGCGTCAGCAGTGATGCGGGCACTGCATCAGTCTGCCATGGTGAAGAAAGAGCTGAGCCAAAAGGCAAAGCTCCCGATTTACCAGTTGATCTATGTTCCTATCCTTACCTACGGTCATGAGCTATGGGTAGTGACTGAAAGAACGAGATCGCGAGTACAAGTGGCCGAAATGAGTTTCCTCCGCAGGGTGGCTGGGCTCTCCCGTAGAGATAGGGTGAGGAGCTCGGTCATTCGGGAGAGATTCAGAGTAGAGCCACTGCTCCTCCGCATTGAGAGGGCTCCGCATGTGGTGGCTCGGGCATCTGATTAGGATGCCTCCTGGACGCCTCCCTGGTGAGGTGTTCCAGGCATGTCCCACTGGGAGGAGGCCCCGGGGAAGACCCAGGACACGCTGGAGGGACTATGTCTCTCGGCTGGCCTGGGAATGCCTTGGGATTCCCCCGGAGGAGCTGGATGAAGTGGCCAGGGAGAGGGAAGTCTGGGTTTCCCTGCTGAGACTGCTGCCCCCGCGACCCGACCTCGGATAAGCGGAAGATAATGGATGGATGGATGGATGGATAGATGGAGTTCATTCTGTATAGTTCATTCTGTTTATATGTTGTGTCCATTGCTGTATTTCTCCTAATTTTTCTATGCAGCAGATTTCTCATGCTATCAAATTTTTGCTGCCCAGAGACACAGGTGCTGTTCACTAAGAAAATGGAGTCTGTGAAATCTGAAGAATATGGAGAGGCCACCTTTGTGGTGGAAGTGAACATGGAGGCTGGGGAGGTGCAGTGGATGAGGCAGGGTGTGGTCATCCAGTCAGGGCCCAAATTCACTTTGAAGCAGGTCGGTAGGAAGAGGAGCCTCACCATCCACAAGCTGTCCCTCTCAGACCAGGGAATGTACCGCTGTGAAACACTACACGACTGCACACGGGGGGAGCTCACAGTGGAGCGTGAGTACATGACCAGATCGTGTTTACTGCTCGCTTTCACCGGCCATGATGGCAAAAGTTGAGAAATGGGGCCGGACCGCTTGTTCTTGTCACGGATTTTGAGAGAAACCCGATTAAAAATATGTGGGAGTAATTTGAGCCTCAGAACCAGAATGACAGTTCCGCCAAAGCTCTGACAGCTCACAACAGGTGACTGATAGATGACCCGCAGACTGCTAGGGAGCGGATTTCTATATTGACATAAGATCACGGGCACAAGACAATTTAATTAAGCTTGTCAAAATGAGAAACCTGCAGAAAACGGGAAATAAATCTGGTGAAACTCTCTTTCAACTGCATTAATATAAAATCTAATAATAATGCAGGTTTGAGTGGTATTATATCCATTATATGAATTTATTTTTTATCTAAGTTTTTACAGTATTGGCTCATTTTAAAGTTATATAAGTATTTTTGTCTTCAGCAGAAAAATAAAAGATAAGGATAATGTCTGAACATTAACTGCTACTGGCACCCCACATGAATATGTATCTCTTTTCATTACAGCTAAATTTATGCATAAGCCTTCAAAGTCTTGGGCAGTGTCATCAAGTATCAAAAATAAACCCAGTCTGTAGCACAGGGGTTGCCTGTCTGTGTGAGAATAAGTGAAGGAACAAAATTTGGTATGTTCTCAAAGTACAGTGTGGAAACGGGATTAAATTGGTAACAGAACAAGCATCCTTTATTGTCTCTTCTGGTAACTTGTCTGATCACATTTGATCACGAAAAGCAGGGCTGTCCAAGATAAAACAAGATAACATAAACATGATAAGACAGGATGAGAAGATAAAATAAGATGTGATAAGATCCGCAATAAGATAAGATGCAGTGCAAGATAAGACAGGCTGTAAGATGAGATAAGATAAGTTTTTGTTGGTCCCAAGGGGAAATTTTTGTGCTCATTCATTATAGCACCATAAGTAATTTCTTTGTATAAAAAATCCATACATGTTTGACAATACTTACAAACCTGACATTATCTTCACACAGCCAGAAAAGTCACAATAAGGAAACGACTGGCGCAAATCGAAACGTTTGAGCGTGAGACAGCCTCATTTGAGGTGGAGCTGTCACACTCCAATGTAGAAGGGGTGTGGCAGAAGGATGGGGTCCGACTCAAGCCCAGCAACTACTGCCGCATGAGTACCAAGGGGTGTGTGCATAGTCTCACCGTACTGAACCTCTCCATGGAGGACACCGGCACCATTACCTTCTCTGCAGGGAATGTTGGAACATTTGCCAGGCTGGTTGTGAAAGGTAAACAAAGCTAAGCGATCGTGGAAAGACTCCAAAGGCGGCAGACAAAGCAACATACCAGTGGCGCTGGTTCTACTATAGAGTGTAGAAGTGTGTGCTAAACCTTATGTGTAAACTTTTGAACAATGTTCCTCTGAAGAAAAACTATGTTAGAGCAAGGAAATTACATAACTAACTTAGCAGTAGCTTGGACATATTATTATATCTAATAATAATATTCTGTTGTTATTATTATTTAATAATAGATTATTAAATCTAATATTATAATCATAGTAGATTGTCAGTCATTGTAGGTATGGTAAACATAATAAAATAATCACATTCATTATTGCATTTATTATTATTATTATTATTATTATTATTATTATTATTATTGTTATTATATCTTAATTCTTGCTTCGTAAATGTATTTGACTCACATTACTGATTCACATTTTTTTTAAATTTTAATGTATTTTAGCAACCCCCGTAAATTCTAATTCTACCTAATTTTTTAATGGCTAATTTGGATTACATTGGCATTGCGCTTTTGGTTTATGGGAGTTTAGATTTTGATATTATGGAAATTATTGAATTATATATATTATATATTGAAATTGTTATATATAAATATTGAAATAAAATGAAATTGCTGAGATATTTTCATTACAAAGTTGAAATTACAATAGTACAATAATTCATAAAATGTTAGTAATGACATTTTGCAATATTTTGAATTATTTTCGGTTCAGTTTAAAAGCTTAGCTCATGGAAGGCCAGTGCCCTGCGTTTGGCCCGCAAGCACTGTCCCAGCTTTTTCCACAGCCATACCAATAAGAGCATACTGAGCCATGATGTAAGCCTTTCAGCAATTTCAGCTGAACCGATTGGCAGGAAAATGCAATGAAGCGACAGGCTATTAATCCCACGAGGGCTCAAGTTACCAAAATATAAAAGACAAACGTTCCATGCATCACGTAATCAGTTTTAGCCCACCAAGGCTTTCTAGACATTTGCTTACATCACCTTGTCATGTGATGCCACAATGAGTGGAATAGCAGAGATGTCACACATGAGATTTTTACAGACGAGAGACCATTAAGCACCATATAACATTATAAACTGTGGAATTTATTATGGGATGTGGATTAGACAGTTGTTATTTCATTATGTTTTTTCAATTTACAATAGTGTTCTATACTTTTGCAGTATGGCTTAGAAATCCCATGTTTTGTGTTTCTAGAACTTCCTGTGACTATTGTAAAAAAGATGGAAGACTTGCGCCTCCCAGAGGGTTCAATGGCATCTTTGGAGTGTGAGCTTTCAAAACAGAATGCTGATGTCAAATGGCTGAAGGTACAGAAATGACCAGCAGGACTGGTATAGCTACATTAGCATCAAAATGAAAGTAAATGTCACTCTGAGTTTGTGTAAAAAATTACTTTCTGCGTTAACTATTATCCATTGTGCAAGCTGCAAAAATTTTAACCCCAACGTTACAAAATTGAACTTTAACAAGAAATGCACAAAAAAAAAAATACAACGTAAATTTAAGGTCAATGCAAATATTAAATGTTTTCTTCTAACCAACAGAATGGAATTGTGGTTAAACCAGACAAAAACCACCGCATCTATTCAATGGGAAGAAAACGCTTTCTTCAGATACTTAAATGTGATCAGAGTGATACAGGGATCTACACGTGCGATGCTGGAGACACAACTGCCTCCTGCTCCCTGGACATCTATGGTAAAGCCTGTGCTTGTAGCTAGATTGGTTACACTTTACGGTTTATTTTAGTTTATAAAGTGAAATATCGCCACCTAATGGACAAATGTGAATAAATAATACAGACCAAACATGATTGCAGTAATAAACTTTGCAATTGGTAGCAAACAGCAGTACTACTGTCTGTCCCAAATGTTTTACAAATCACTGCAGAGCGGCAAGTGGAGGTGGTACATGGTCTTGAGGATTTAGACATTCAAGAGGATCAGAATGCAGTGTTTGTGTGCGAGGTGTCTGTGGCAGATGTACCCGGAGAATGGTACAAAAATGGGGAAGAGATTCGTCCAACCAGCACCATTAAAATTCGCCAGGAAGGTCAGACACTCACTCATGTCATTCCTGGGTTACATTTTTATACATTTGTAACGTAAGAACCTTGGGGTTTCTGCATGAATGGTTCCTATAAAAAAATAAATATAACAACATAAGTATAAAATATAAAACTAAATATATTATTAATGAATAATACACAATTACAATTGCTATATGCCAAACTTTCTCACAACTCTACCTCACAAACACATTCTACACCAATAAACTAAATCTCATTTTCATTTATTGCTTCCATAATTTAGGGACCAAGCACTTTCTTCTGATTTGCAACGTGAAGGCCGAAGACTCGGGAGAGATCAAGTTTGTGGCCAAACAAGCCGAATCTATTGCTTACTTAGAAGTGGAAGGTATACATCATCCAATCAGTTTATTGTCATGTGATGTCACTCATGGCTAGCGTAACCAAGACTATAATACCCCCCTTGCCAATACAGCACTGCCTATGACGATAGTGAACCCTCTCCGGGACACCACCGTTGTGGAGAAGAGCCGTGTGGTCCTGGACTGCACTGTGTCCAACCCAAGAAGCAGCATCCGTTGGTACCACGGAAACAATGTGGTGCTGCCCTCAGAGCACTTTGAGATCTGCAGCGAGGGCTGCTACCGCAAGTTGGTCATCCAGCAGGTATCCCTAGAGGATGGTGGTGTATACAGCGTGCAGGTCGGGGAGCACATATCCTCAGCCCAGCTGACAGTGAAAGGTGAGCTGACAGCTACCCGGACAGAATTACATGGAATATCATTATTTATTTTGAATCCAACGATAAATATACAGGGTAGCTAAACATTTACCATGCACTTAAATAAATGATAAAATAAAATGGACAAAAATAATGTCTGTTCCACTGTTTAAGCTAATTCAATTTTTCTGTTGTAACAGATGCCAAGAATACTTGTCTGCAATATTATAACTGGTTTTAAAAAAAACATATGCTAGTTTCACCTGCTACCTGAAAGTATACTATATGGACAAAAGTATTGGAACACCTGGCCATTACACCTACAGGAACTTTTATGACATCCCATTCTAAATTCATAGGCATCAGTATGGAGTTGGTCTCCCCTTTGCCGCTACAACAGCTGCCACTCTTCTGAGAAGGCTTTCCACAAGATTTTGGAGCATTTGTGAGGTCAGGCACTGGTGTTGGCTGTGAAGGCCTGGCTCACAATGCCTGATCTACTTCATGCCAAAGGTGTTTGATGGGGTTGAGGTCAGTGCTCTGTGCAGGCCAGTCAAGTTCTTCCACATCAATGTCATCCAACCATGCATTTATGGACCTTGCTTTGTGCACTGGGGCACAGTCATGCTGGAACAGAGAAGGGCCTTCCCCAAACTGTTCCCACAAAGTTGGAAGCATAGAATTGTCCAAAATGTCTGCAGTGGGGGAACCAACTCCATATTGATACTTGTGGATTTAGAAAGAGATAAATAAAGTTGCTGTGCATGTAATGGACAGGTGTCCCAATACTTCTGTCCATGCAGTGTGGGGCATTCCTGTGAAACCTTTTGTAAGCCAAAATGGCATAAAACAAGGAAGCGTGTACCATTAATTTATACTGCAAATTTTTTTGAGCGTTTCCCAGACCAAAAAAAAAAAAACCTACGAAATAAAAAAAACCTAATAAAACACCAACATAAGCAGGAATATGATAAATACCCAACCTATATAAAGTAGAAATAATGTATGTACAGTGTAGTTTCAATTACCAGAATCATTTAACAACATGAATACCTTCTGAGAAATGCGTTGTTAGGCGATTTCCCCATTGTGAGAACATCATAGAGTCTACTTGCACAAACCAAGTTGGTATAGCCTACTACATACATAGGTCACAGTAAACTGTAAACTTTTTTAGAAGTACAAAGAGTATGTTCTAAAATAACCATAGAAAGTACTGTATAGTAAATACATAAACCAGTAATGTCGTTGTTTATACTCATTATCAAGTATATAATGTACTGTAAATAGTTGTATGTGCTATACTTTTATACGGCTGTCTAGTTTCATTTACACCAGCATCACCACAAACACATGAGTTTTTAATACATTGCACTCTGACGTTATAGCGGCTACAAAGTTGCTAAGCGATAGGAATTTTTCAGGCCATTATTATCTTATGGGACTACCATGGTATGTGCAGTCCACCGTGACCTCAAGGTTGTCATGCAGTGCGTGACTGTACAGACGCTCCCCGGGTTATGATGGGTTTACGTTCCGAAAAACCTATCATAAGGCAAAAATATCGTGTGAACATGAATTTTAATACAGTACACCTAACCTAACAAAAGTCATAGCCTAGCCTTGTCTACCTTAAACATGCTTAGAACACTTACAGTTGGAAAAAATCATTAACTCAAAGCTTACTTTATAATAAAGTGTATCACACAAAGTATCGTTTGTATGCACTAGTGACCGTGTAGCAGACTGGGAGATGAGGAAGCTGCTGCTGCCTGGATGCTCAGTATTCGCAATTAAGTATCGCATATTGCTTGCTCGAGGAAAAAAAAATGAAATTCAAAATTGGAATACCTATCATAAAGTCGAAATATCGTAACACAGACCAGCGTAACTAAGGGAGCGTCTGTATATCTATAATTGACTCGCTGATAAACAAATGCTAAATGCTATTTTCGCCTTTCTACTTTTTTCGTAAAAGCAAAAATCTTCTTTGGCTTTCTCTCGGTTACCGAAAACAGATGCTAATGTAGGCCTAAGTTTTTAGTAAAAGAGAAGTAGCATAAAGTAAACTTTTGTAAAGCAGGGGATACCCGTATGTGGTTTATAAACTTATTTGTGCATTCAAGGTAAAACAAAATGTTATATTATCTTAATCACTCATCCTATCACTTAACTTAATCATTTTAGTTACATTAGCTGCCATAATTATCTTAATGCCTCTTCATTTGTATGTTTTTATTATTAAATAAACCACTAAATATTGTGATGTTCACAGTAGAAATTGTGATTTCCCTTATTCAGATAATTGCATACTAGTATACTCAGAGGTTACGCATCTGGCATGATAGTCATGTTTTAAGACTCAAACACTCACAGCAAGAAATCTTACGGCAAATCTGTATTATTAAACTGAAATTAACTACATAAAAAGCATTGTGGTAGTTTAAAAAGACTATTTACAACTTAACAAAAACTGCTACATACATGTAAATTAGGGGCAGCGTGTGGCTCAGTGGGCTAAGCCTGTGTAATTACAAGGTCACAGGTTCAAACCCAGCCTCAGCATGTCTGTGGGTCCTTGAGCAAGGCCCTTAACCCTCAGCTCCCTGGGTGTCCCAACAGGTGGTTGCCCTTCACAGACAGCTTGCTCTACAAAGAGCAAATTGAGGGAGGCATAAAAAGAATCTCCCCTTGGGGACAATAAAGGATCAATTATTATTATTAAATGCAGGTGCAGACTTGTCTCAAATTGGAAAATCTCACAGCAACCAGCTGACCAAAGTTGGCAACCCTGATTTTATATATATATATAAAAATAAACATCTTCTTTATTTTTCAGCTTGTACCAGCAACTAGCAACTGGAAGATGGAGGATCGACTGAATTGTCTACTTTAGTGGGAAAGATTGTATGAATTTATATATGTATTTATTGTTTATAGTATGGATGGGAAAAATCTTCATTTTCTTCCAATGGATTTGGAGAGGAAGCTCAATGGGAGACAAAGAAAGAAAATGATTTGTAACAATCAGGTTCTCAGAAGGAAAGAGGATCTCAAAATAAAGTGTGACCTGGAACAAGAGCTGACATTAGGAAAGAAGTATATTTCTTCATAAATGTATAAGAACATGAACTCTCTGTAGTACCTCCTTTCTTGTACAGTGTGCCATATTGGTTCACTGCTCCAAAAGGACTTGATTAAATAAATGCCATTCAAGAATTTATAGAAATGTTGATTAAAGTACTTAATTGGAGGAAAACTGTGCCACTATGTTGATGAGGACAATAATGTAGAAGAAACAATAAAATATGAAAGTCATTTCCTATACAGTAAGTTGTTAGTAAGACAATTGCAATGACAGTAAAATAAAAAAGCAAAATCTGCTTCATAATTTTACCTAAATATACAATGAATGTTTCATCATTAAGTATAAGTTACATTCAGTAATTCCAGAATATTTTTGCAATGTTTTTTTCCATAATGCATATAATTTGCTTTAACTTCCCAATGTCGCTCTATACACACACATCATCTTTTTTTGAATTCATCTATAAGACTCTGCGGGATTGTTGTTAAAAAAAAATAAAAAATCAGTACGTCCTCTTTGAATAAAACATGCTTTATGGGGACTCCATGGTCTGTTCTTCACGGATTGTAAAACTATTCAAAAATAAATAAAAACCCTTAAACTAACAGACTTCACAAAAGCTCTCAGACAAAGGTAATTAATTTAATCATTTATAATTCATATTTTGTACAGTAAAGTACAATTAATTATAACAAAGACTTTCAAAACTAGGTTACAATCTCAGTGTTCCCAGATCACAAGTATATCATATATTAATGCCAATTTATTACTGTGCAATGACCAAACATATACATCTGAATATACGCTGGTTTGTATATAAATACAGGAGAAATACAGTAAAAGGCAAATGGCTGCATAACTAACCTGCATAACTAGAGTGAGTACAATTTTGCCTGTCTTTTGGTTAATGAGTATAAGAGGGAATGGAAACAGCACAAGATGCTAACATTGTCTTATAAAGTGGATTTACAAAAGGCATTTCACTGGAACCAAACTGAATGTTAAGAATTATGGCTGCATTACATATTACAGTTTTCATTAGCTTACTGCATTGTGTGAAAAAGACACATCGAGCATGAAGGCAAGTGGCATTACTTTACTGACATACCATCATTGCTGCTATTTACACAGTAGAAGTCATGTTTTGTAATACTGATGAGTTTATTGTGGAATTTACTGCCGGAATATCTCTTAGGAAAGACATGTACAGTCAATTTTTATATAATGTCCTATACCATGTACTGATAAAACCTCCAAACATATGGTCACAACAGCAGGGTAACCTTATTTAAATGTGTAATTTTACACTATTTTAAGGTCCATCACACATGCAACCATAAAGCCATTGACATCTGATGTGGAGAAGGAACTACGAAACTTTGTTTTAAAAAGTATGGGGTCTTCCAAAAGAAAACATATTCATTCCTACTCAGGATCAGCAAAGCCTACTTCAAAAAGGACAAAAATTGACAAGGAAGTAGAGATTACAGATCAGTTAAAAACCAATATTCAGGGTTGAATTAGAAGCCAGAACAGCATTATGTCATCTACCAAGCATTTTGTTAGAATTATGATCCATGAATATCCTGTTAAACCTGCTGGCAGTGCAGTTAATTATACTGCTGAATTTGTGTTATATACTCACTCTAAACAAAAACTAAAGGGGAAAAAAACTTGGATATCTATTGTTTTAAAGCAGCCGTAAAACCATACCCAAAAACTGAAAATTTTCAGTTTCTCAAATATTGATTAGAAATTACCGATTTACTTGTCCAACCTGTATTATATATGAAATAGCTGGCTTGGGAAGATTAATAAAAATGGCAAACATATATATTTATACTTGATTATCTCCAATCCATTACATATGGACCACAACTGAAAAATGAGTAGTACTACAAAACAGGAGGGATATTGTGCTTGTAAAGAACCATGTGTTTTTGTCATCCATATACAGAAACTCTCAAACCAATTATACTTTACATATTTTCCTCTCTGCACAGTACAAGACATGGAAAACAAAGGCACAGTTTTTGAAATGTTTGTTCTAATAAAAATAAAAAGTAGCCATGGTGACCAAATGCACCTGTTCAGTGCTTATCCTGACCTTAGTATAAAAATAGTTCACCACATACGTGTTGGCACTTCTGGTGAAGAACCTGAAGCTGAAGAACCTTATCAGGCTTGGGAGGGAGGTTACATCAGGCTAAAGGCAAAGACTGCAAGATGAAGGCACTTTGTTTTGCTATTTTTAAAAGTATCCCATCTTCAGCACTCTATCTTAAAATAAAATAAAATAACAGAACACCGAACTACATGTTGAGTTTTCAAAGTGAACCAAGGGACAAAATTTGGAATTAAGTTTTGCAATTTAGTGACTGGAAACAAAAAATGATTTTGAAAAATATGCTACCACCTGTGATGCATGACATTTGATACAATAATGTTTCCATGATTCCAGAATTACTGTACTTAAGACTAAAACGCTAAAGTAGTCAAAAATACTCAAAGCATGCTATAGTGCTTTGTCATATATCATGACAAGTTACTTGGTAAGTTAACTGTGCTAAAACAAGATTTTGAACACTAGAACTGAATTCATTCCATACCATATCACACGGGCGTGAAAGGAACAGCGTAGTCAGGATACTTTTCATGATTGCCATTTTTGATTTTGTTCAAAAACCAACTTGGGCATTTGAGGTAAGGTCAGAAGAACAAAGGAATGAATGTAATTCAATCCGTGACATAAGCCCAAGGAAAAACAGAATGAAAGGTGTTATTACTGAGAACAGATTAAGGTCTTTTATGTCTGTTTCCTAAGGGTTAACCATGTCTGTAAAACAGACCCTTCCCTCAAGCTTGCCTTTAAAGGAAAAAAAAAGTACAAAAAGGAATAACACATATTCAAGTGTTAAGAACAGTATATACATTTTTGTAATACAGAGGTTCTTCAAACACTCCATTGCCCTTCCAAACAGGCCAGTTTGCTTCATTCTGCCAAGCTTCTCATGATTGGAATTCTGGGTAGATTTTGATGAGAAGGGCAGCAGCCAGTCCAAGAAGGAGGCGGCGTACAGGCTAGCCCCCGTGGCCCCCGTGGCCCCTGACAACCCCTTTCTGATTCTATTAGCTTATAGTCCTCTGCTGCTTAAGAACTGTGTACACGTCGTCCACTTTACTCAGTCTCTCGAAGAATGGGATTAGATCGAGCAGCTCTGTGTCGGACGTGTCATCAAACCAGGACGCTACAGGTACCTAAGCACAGAAGAGGAGGAAGGGAGCAAAGAGAAGCACATTAAACTGTTACGATACAATATATAGCACCAGGCTTTAATGTAGGTTCTAATGTACAAGCTGAAAAATTTATACAATGGCTTTGGTAAATAGTGCTTTCTTATTGATCCAGAGATGCCAGGAGGGTGCAACTGTGCAGGTAATTCTGGGGCCTTAATAACAATTCTATATTAATGCACTTTAATGTTTTAAACATGTTGATCTAAAAACCTGTGTGACTTTTTCCTCATAAAAAAGCAATCTTTCTGATCAGCGTAATATTCCTTGGTTCTCATTGTTTCCATGGTAACTTAAACTTGCTGCTTCCAGTGATGCTGTGAGTAGCCTGACCTTATTTAATCATTCTTCCCTTATAGGGACTATATTTTCAGAGCACCTTGGAACATAACTAAATGCCAGCTGAAATCATTTTCTTCTGAAAAATTAATCATAAACTTGTTTATTCTACTATTAATTTTTGTTAGCCATGGTATAAGTGGGATAAACTGCTTCAAGGTGTGCAATTATACAAAAATAATCAACTCCACTTTGCGTTGGGCCACATCACACCAAGTTGTCAACGGTTATTTTCATATATCTGCACACCTTGTCATGGTTTATCCTTTAGAGAAACAGCAATATGAATAACAGAATTAGGCTGGAGCGGTAATAAAATAAGATGGGTAGCACGCACAGCATTGTCTGGGTGGAAGATGTAGGAGGCTGGAGAGTTGTCCACAATGATGACTTTGTTGAGGTCCCTGCCTAAGCGGCTGAGATCCTTGACGTAGTTTCCACGGTGAAAGACACACGACTCCCGGAAGAGCCGGCACCGAAAGGCTCCCCATTTATCCAACAGATCGGACACTGGATCTGCATACTGCCGCACCATCAGAGAAGCAGAGAGCCGGCATGCCACGGGATTGAATCGCAGAGTCGGACGTTGGGACAGAAAAGTGTATATCGGCTTTACTGTATACTTTTCACTAGATAATACCAAGTACAATTGTATTATTTAACAAGAAAGGTAGAAAGGAACTGGCAAGACCTGAAGGTACTTACCTTAGCTAGACTTGCAGTGAACAGCACACATTCAAACAATTCTCCCATTCGTTTAAGAAACTCATCCACATGGGGTCGCTTCAACACATACACCTAGATTAGAGGAAAAGACGTGAACATACAATATATAGCTAACTTGGTTTTCAAATGGTAGTAATAAAATATAACTTCTGAAATTTTGCACTTGTTACTGGTCACTCATTGGAGGTCTGGCCTGACAACACTGGTACCTAAGCTGCTTGAAAGCTCTATGCTTATATTGTCTCTCACACTTACATGTCACTTTGGACGAAAGTGTAATGAGCCAAACTATCCAGTAACGGGTACTGATTCTCAATTTTAATCCTCTCCAGATGAGACGTTTCCTGGTTTGTGACCATGACTCCTGCCCTTCAGTATTTCCGTTCTTCTACACTGCCGTCTACCAGACCATTCTCACAATTCATCCTGTATCTCCATCGAACCAAGGATTTGAGCGTTTCAATCAACGGCAGATAATTTATCAATCTTAATCCTAAATCTGTAAATCCTAACAGAATATAATGCACCTAAAAACCAACATCTGCCCATCACAGGTCACTCTGGATGCTTTCCTAGTTCGGGTATATTGCTAGACAAAACAGGTACTAATATATGGGGATTAACACCTAAACTTTCAGACATGTCATTCCTCCACAGAATCTGTAGCTATTGGCCTTAATCCCGAACCAAGTCATCCTGAATAGGCTTTCCCAGGTTAAACAAGCCTATCCTGGATTACTTGAAACAGGCCCAAGCCAGGAATGGTGGTCTCCAATCTTCATCACATTTTGTTGGGTCTTTAAAAGTGTCATAGTTCAGACCATCATGCCTTACTGTGAGACTCATGAGCAGAGGAGAAACACTAGTTGAGAAAATCAGGCTCTTTCATGGAGGAAGAACACATGTTACCATAGTGAAATCCCACCACACAAAGACTTTGAGTTGGTATTTAACACTTATATCACTTTTAAAAGGTTTCCTTTTGAACTGCTACCCGTCCAGATCATGGCTCCTACCTGATGAACAGTTCCATCAATTTCCACTGGAATGATAAAATCAGCATTGTTCACTGGCTGAATGGAGCAAAAGAATACCAAAAATAAAAACATGAAACATTTTCTGTCTAATCACATAAGATACAATCATTATAGCAGATTAATTGTAATAATTTTTGCATTGACATATATCCATTATCAAATTATAAAAACTCAAATTTCTCTTTTGGAAGGAAAAAAAAAAATGCAGTGTACCTTCAACATCAACTGCAGAATAACATCAACTATTACAAAATCAACACTTGCTAACACCTGAAAGATTTACTTGGATCTATATCAAACCAAAATGTCGATTTCAAATATTAATGATGTACAGTGGTACCTCAGAACTTGAACTTAATCCATTCAGAACTCGGGTTTGAATCCTAAAAAGTTCAAGTTCTGATCAAATTTTCCCCATAAGAAATAATGGAAAACCAATTAATTGGTTCCCAGCCCCAAAAAATTACACCTAAATATGTTTTTTTTTTTAGCACCTAAACACAACATGAACAGGATAAAACAAGAGCATATATTAAACACATCTAAGCACATTTATCAAAACAGTAATTTGTAAAGTAAGATAAATGCAGTGCGTGACATTTTTTTTTTTTATGGCTTCCAAAACGATAAAGAATGTACCCCAACACTACCCCAAGCCATGCGCCAACATCAGACTATTCCATGCGGTCCATTGTTTATTTTTATTATTATTCTGTATTCGTTAATTCCTCGTAAATTGATAAATTTTAGGTTGTAACATTTGTACAACTATTGCGTAAGTTTTTGGTGAGAAATGGCTACGAAAACCTGATATTTTAAAAAAAAAAAAAAAAGCACTATCACCAACAAACGATGCTATCACAGCGAATGCGAGGTTCACGGTATTCACGGTTCGACTTCTGAGATTCAAATCGAGTTCTAGGTCATTTTTTGTTTCGAACTGGTTGGTTCGACTTTTAAGAAATTCGCATTCTAATGAGTTTGAGTACTGAGGTACCACTGTACTTTGCTTAGTAGGTTTTCACTTTGCAGGCTTTGCTCCATGCCTTTACCTTGAATGAACTGTGCACTAGTGTTTCATCCAGGTCAATGACCACACAGATTTTCCCCACATCTTTAGACTTTATCTGAGGCAGCAATGGCTTTGCTGGGACCTACAAAATCAAAAGTATGAGACGTTTCAGAAACAAGGCAAAAAAATAATAAAATAATTATATTTACATATTTAGCAGATGCTTTTGTTGAAAGCGACATACAAGCAAGCAAATAGCACATTACTAATAATTGTGTCATCAAGGAGTCAATTAGGCAGCGAACTTGGGCTTACAAACTATAGCAGCTTGTAGTAGTTCCTATAGCAGGAGCTACGCAACAGCTACAGAACTACACATTACTATTAAAGTATGAACTAATAAGATAATGAAAGGGCCTGAAAATGCGACATAAGAGCAACAGATAGCTAACAGCCTGGATTTTTCTCTTTTCAAATGGTTTTAAGGAATGGGATATAAGGCATTTAAATCATAACATGAAGGCTGTATTAATGTTCAATGTATTTTTATGGGGTTTGAGGTCTGTTATATAAAACTGCGGATAAAATAAATAAATAAATAAATAAATAAATCTTTGAGATGTTTGTGTGTTAAATTTATGTCCACAGGGGGGCAGACTAAAAGCAGGGCAGAGCATGTGACTGCAAACTGTGGACTAGGACTCCAGTGCCGTTTGAAATGAATGGACCTGCTCCCCTTCAAAGAAAAGCTCCAGGGGTGCGAAGAAATATGCATTTTAGTGACACCTGGATGAAAGAATAAGTGAGATACAAATTATTTTTTCCAAATAGTCTCAAACTGATCAATTTTTCTTCCCTTTTGATGGGAACAGAGAATTTGGCATTTTTTTGCAGTTGCAGTACAGAACTGACTTTGCCTTTTTTGCTCAGTTTGCCAGCTTTGTTCAGAGCACTGTACATATGACCTGCTTTGTTCTGACAGCTTATATTGTTTTGTAGAATCACACTGTTCGTGGGGATTATTCTGATTGTTCTAGTTCCCATGATAATACAAGGGTCATAACAAGGGTCATAACACATTGTGGCGAATGAGAAAAACCTTGAAAAGTCTTTCAGGGTCACAATGATACGTCTGGTGTTCAGTACAACATTCAGTAGGCTTAGTTTGTTTAAAAGACTTCCAGTCTTCTGAAACAGTGCTCATCCACAGTCTCAGCATTTCTAAATGCACTGCTGCGTTCCCAGGCAACCTCTGTTTAGAAGACGTAGTGTGTGGTAATTTTCAAAAAAGTGTTCCACAATCTGTGTCCATAGAGTATGTCACAGTCAATGCTGTGTTCAGAGAGTATGTCACAGTCAATGCTGTGTTCAGAGAGTATGTCACAGTCAATGCTGTGTTCAGAGAGTATGTCACAGTCAATGCTGTGTTCAGACGATGGCTTAAATTTCAACCCGAGTTCACAGAACTGAAGTTCCTGAAAGAACACAAAGTGCTCCAGGAGGACCTTACAATATTCTTGGTGTCCAAACAGATGAAAATGCTCAAGCAGCCTACCTATAGCATAGTACTGTGATTGACTGAAATATTAAAAACTCTTTTTGTTCCAGAAGTTGACAATGGTTATAAACCATGCAGCATTCAAATGTCTTACAACATTCAGGGTAATAGCCGGATGCAAGTTAGTATGCTGAACAATGTGCAGTTGTGTAATTAAGACTCCCAAGGTTCAGAGGGCAAAACAGTTCAAAGGGCTTTAACATGTTTTAGAGGGCCTGCAATAGAGGACCTGTCAGTTCCTGAGAGCTGGGAGGGTTCTTGGAGAACAGAGCACAGGATTCAGAAGAAGTTCAGCGCACTAGTGCTAAAAGTGAACATGCTGACATGACAGGACAGTCACACCCACACTGACCCTTCAGATTGTCACTTCTTTCAGGTACACAGCAGATAATCTGTTCCCTAAATATCTAATCATCATAAAGAGCTATAATGACACATTCCACTGTGAATTATCCTGTGGCAATACAATTAGTTAACCAGATCCCATGCTGAAGAAATACAGCAAGTCAATTCTTGAAGTTTTCTTGTTTATCCTGAAAGGTAGAATCTCAAAAATGGAGAATAGAAACTGGTGTTTCTGCCAACCGCGCCGTACTCTTCAAATAATAATCTACTACACATCTAGAAAGTGCAAGAAACAGGTTACCTTTGAGACCGTTCCGTTCTCCTCCACTAGGACGGGGGCATTGTTATTGACAGGGAGCTGGTCTGCATCGTCAGTACAGAGACAGCAAAACAGACTATGGAAAATGCCCCGGCTCCGAGGTTTCTTGGTGCTGGAGGTCACATGTGCTGGGGCACCTGCAAATAGGAAGCCTTCATTTTAACACATGGGGTCAAGAAACAGTATATATAGTATTAAACTGAACAAAACTATCTTGAAAAGAATTGGTCTAATTCAAAAACAAATTATGCAATCAATCTGAGTAAAAATGGGATGGGAGAGACAGAAAACAACTTTTCAGATATTATGTTTCAGAACTCTTCAAACAAAATATACAGATAGCTACAGCTTATCAAGAATGTTACACAAGATTTAAAAAAAAAAAAAAAAAAAAAAAAAAGAACATGGCTACGTTGCTAAAGGCGTAATCAGTTTTGCTGGTGATAAAACGTATACATCCATCATCCATAATCGCTTATCCAGAACAAGGCCACGATGTGCCCAGGAACAGGGCCCCGGAAGAGGCTGCTGGTGTCGTGCAGGACATACACTCACATACCATCCCACACTAAGGGCAATTTAGAGACACAATTCACCTATACATGTTTTTGGCATACAAGAGGAAACCAAGACGGAAACAGACACCGCACACAGCCAAGGGCAGAATACAGCCACATACAGGATGGGATAATATTACTGTCACATTGCATTCTGGGTATATCATGCATGATACCTTCATAAATAACTGGAAATTCATCAGCTTTTGGTCGTCAGAATATTTTAACAAGATGTCCAAATTTAATAGAAAAAATGACCAGACGCATGCATTAAAAGCATCCTTCTCTAAAACTTGCACAACACTTTACAATGATGAAACATTTCTTATAGCTACCTATAAGCTTCTTGTACCTCCCTGCTGGTATTTCCCCCCACTACTTATTTGTAAAGTGTTCCAAGTCCCAAATGTTTGCATTCTGTTTGCCATTAGCAGATTTCAGGTCCTTCCAAAGGTTTTCATCGGATTTAGATCAAGACTCATTGCTGGTCAGTTTAACAAAGTCCAATGTTTCCTGATTAACGATTCTGCTGTGCTCTTGGAATTGTGTTTTGGGTCACTGCTGCTAGAGGACCCGTGATATTTGAGTCAAGCCTAGTTTTCTAACACTGGGTAGCACATTTCACCCTAAATCCTCTGATTTCATGACTCTCTTAATATGTTAAAGGCCTCCAGTACAAACGGAAGTAAAGCAGCCCCACAATGTCATGGAACCTCTACCATAATTAAGTGTAGGTGAAGTATTGTTTTCCTTATGAGCTTCATTTCATTGCCTGTAAACAAATCAACATTGCCAAAAAGCTCTATGTTGGTTTAATGAGTCCACAGAACATTTTCCCAGGTTTTCCTAGGTCGGACTGGGCAAAGAACAGTTGTGTCTTTCTCCGATTGTCTTTCAACAGTGGCGTCCTCCTTGGCTGCTGCCAATAAGGTCCTCCTCATATATGTGTGGGGATATGGTAGAGGTTGAAACCATCATTCCAGATCACTGCAGGTCGCTCAAGGTTAGGTTTAAGTTCTTTGGATGTTACACATGATGTTTTTTTTTGTTAAAGTTCACACCAAGCTTCAAAGACTTATTTAGGCTATTTTCTCACTATGTCTATGGAGGCTCTCGACAATTCCATGAGCAAAGTTCTCAATTACACTGAGAAATGTGGAAGCAAGGATGCCAGGGTCTCTGAAAATGGCCTTGTACCCTTTGTATGTTTGTTTGGTGATTATAGTTTTTCTCATGGTATTAGACAGTTTTTTTGCCTTCACTGTTGTCAAAAAGGAACAAAATCAGAATCACCTGCTTTCAATATTAATCGCTAATTAATTCATGTCATGTAAGTACTGGCAGTCTATCACAGGTAAGTCTAATTTCACTGCAAATGAGAATCTATTTCTTTTAATCAAACTAATTTGATTTGTCTGAAGGACACTCATAATTGCCATGGCAACATTTCAGATCAGCAATTTCCTGTTTTATTGTTTGATCCTGTGTCGTATCACAGAAATAACTGTAATATAGCTCAAAGCCATTTCACTGCCCACTATATTTCTAAGAACAACTGTTCTTATTTCCCAAAAAGCAAGGATGCCTGTAATGTTGACCAGTACTAAATTTGTACATAAACTCAATGTGAAAATATATTCCATATATATATTCTTCTAGTCCTGGATCAGTTAGAGGGATTTTCACACAACTGTGATCTATTCAGTTTTTTGTGCATTTTTAATACGGTTTGATGCTCTGAACAGCGTGACAGCAGCTCATCCATGGATCAGACTTACATTCAGTGATCAGCCAGTGTCCAGGTTGTTATTGAAATGTGTCCAGGTTGTTACTGAAACTGCGGCAGTAATTCACTTTTGGAGGGTGGATTTTTCATGTTCGGTATCTTGACCAAACGGGCTGCTGGACTGTTGCTCACGCTCAGATTTCCACACGGTTCGAATTGCAACTCACTCTATGGAGGACGTCCAGCATATTACGGCTAAATCACCTGGCTGTAGGGGAATTAGCTGCCGCCTCATCAGAGTGACTCCAGTTGCACCACAACAGATACTGCTGGTCTCTTCTTGTCTAACTTTATGGTTTGTTACTTGAGCTGCTACTACATCATGGGAACTTGTTTCGCACGTCTATGGGAAAACCAGACACTTGAAGCACCTTCGGTGACGATACGGCTATCCTTAAGAGAAATACTTACTTGGGACTGCCAAGAAATTCAGGAAACCAAAGCAAACAAACTCGCATAACAGCACAAGTTTATAAAGCACTCATACACCGGCTAGTACATTCAAAATGTAAGCACTAACTAAAGGCAAATGTAATCTAGATATAGAATCGTGAACTCGTTAAATACAGATAACACTTCATATTAACTTCTTGCAGAAAATCAGCTAACAGTAATTCAAATGCTTAGTAACTGCAGCGCATGCAAACCTGGAGGAGCAAATATCAGATCACAGGTTTCTTAGCAATTCAGTTACATACCATGCAAATAATTGTTTTGTAATATGGATAAGTATCATGAAAAACTATTCATGTATCATAAATACTTCAAAGCAGAAGTAAAATATCACACAGTCACAGAGTGACTGCAATGCAATAAGTTCTTAAGAGAAGATCCACAGGCTCACCCAATAATGTGAGTGTATAGATGACTATAAGCTATGTGCTCTTTAGCCTCTTGGAGTAGTAGCCTAGCATATCTCTGTCATCACTTTGACAAATTTGAGAAATTTCTGTATTTCAAGATAATCGGTGCTAAAACGAAGGCTAGCCCTGTTACTCAGCAGTATTTAAGGGTATGTATTTTGGGTGTCACTATTGATGATATCAATAATCGTGCAGTCTACAGATTAATTTGATGATTCATCAAGTAATTGTTATGTGTGTCTGTGTGAGTGAGTGTTTGTGGGTGTGTGCCTCTATCTAACCATCTTCTGTAGCTGCTTGTCCTATTCAGGGTAATAGAATATAAGCATTGCAACTGGCATGCGGCAGGAACCAATCAATCATTGCAGTGTACACTCAGTCACACGTGTGGTCAACACCTAGGGTGAACATGCAAATTCCACAAAAACAATGCAGGGGTATGCGGCTTGCATGATGTGTGATGTTAATATCAACATGGCATTTCATGCATGTGCAACTGTCATGCTGCAAGGACCACTATAGCCTGCTGGGTTCAAATCACCAATAATTCAATTCAATTTTATTTCTATAGCGCATTGTCACAACACTAAATTGTTTCAAAGCGCTTTACATTATCCCTGCCTAAAGCCCCCCAGTGAGCAAGCCAGAGGCAACAGTGGCAAGGAAAAACTCCCTAGAAGGAAGAAACCTTGGGAGGAACCAGACTCAAAGGGGGAGCCCATCCTCCAGGGGGCGGCAGACGAAGTTAGATGAATAAGATGGCGACCTGATTTACAGTCTAAATTTTATGATTTGAGTCTCAATACAGAGGGCAGGTAAGGGCTGGCAGGCAGGTTCTGCTGCTGCTTCTGATGGCAGGATGAACAGTGGTGCAATATATGCTGCTAAAACATTTTTGCTCAGTCACAGCAAGGAAAACTTAGTTTTGCAATTTTAATGCTTCCTTTTCAACATTAAAAAAAAAAAAATTAACTAATGTCTAATGTTTACTGTCGCTGCTTTTGCTTGAGCTATGTATGCGCTCACTGGGACAATCATAATCATTCTCATCCTTGTTGCTGGATTCAATGATAGTCCAGGTGGCACGTTTGTGGCTTTGCAACACTGAGATGCGACTGCATTTTCATTCACTTTCAGTGTGAAGTGCTTCCAAACAAATCACGCTTTCACACTTTATATTTTGATCCTCATCTGCAAAGCGCTATCTTTCTTCTGCCATATTGTTAATTAATTGATGCTGTTAAATAATTTAGTAATCTATAAATGCAGTAAGTTTTGAAAATGGTACAATACCAGAATTAAAAAAAAAAAAACACGATACTTTAATTTTATTTCTCTACAGCAGTAACACACATATTCATATGTACTGTAGTCCACAGCAGTGGTCACCAACTGACGAAATACAATTTAATCTGGACTATGCGGTTGATTACCCACTGGTCAGGGATGCTCATGGTTGGGACTACTGTTGTGCACAGCACGGGGGCAGGAGGGCAATCGCCCCCCCCCCGCCCCCTTTGCTGAATGTAAACACGTGCCCCTTTCAGAAACTATTTTAATTTGCAAAATATTTTCATATTTCACTGATGAACTGCACTGCATTATTATAATTTTTTTAAATTTAATTTCTGCAACTTCTCTCCTGTCATCTTCATGAAAGAAAGAATAGGGCAACAGTGATGCTAAATTGAGACATACTCCGCCCAACCAGAATGGATTTGACTGGACTGTGCAGGTAATATGTGCAACTGCATTTAACCAACTGGATAAATGGTACCCACTGAAAAATTAACAGACAGATTCTTAACGAACAGAGAACAAGCATGTTGCATCATTTATGTGAATTACACAAGCATTTCTAGTCCAAAAGTTAATATTTCACATCAGATATCATATTTTCAGCAAATACACTCCATACTATTATCGACTAT